GGTCCATCACTATGATCCTGAGACTAAAATCCAGTTGATGCAATGGAAGCATCATGATTCACCGCCTCCAAAGAAGGCACGTGCCCAACTTTCAGCAAGCAAGGTCATGCTCACAGTATTTTGGAACCAACACGGAGAAATACTGATGGATTTCCTAGCAAAAGGGACCATGATACTGGGGCACACTATGCTTCACTGCTGCGGAAATTGTGGGAGGCCATCAAAACCAAGAGACAAGGTGGCATGCTCACCAAAGCTGTCCGCCTTATGCAAAACAATGCACCAGTTCACAACTCACCTGTTGCCCAAATGGAAGAGGCATGCTCCTGTGCTTTGAAATTCAACCTCATCCCCCTTATTCACCTGAACTCGCACCATTGGAGTTCTACCTCTTTCCAACAATGAAGTTATTTTTGAAGGGCAAGCATTTTCAGATGATGAGACTCTGGTTTCCATAGTCACAACGTGGCTTTTGGAGAAACCTGTCAACTTCTACAAGCAGGGTATTTACATTTGCTTTAAAAGATGGGGGAAGTGTGTGTCCCTGGGTGGCACCGATGGAGAGAAGATCTCAGAACTGCTCTCAGTCCACAAGAAGTGGGTCAGGGAAAATCTTTAATGAATGCCCCTTGTATAACAGGGTTGTGCAGTTCTGTGTTGTTATTGCTATCGTTACTGGGTTGTTGTAGGTTTTTCGACATGTATGGCCATGTTCTAGAAGCATTATCTCCTGAAGTTTCGCCTCCATCTGTGGCAAGCATCCTCAGAGGTTGTGGGGTTTGCCACAGATGCTTGCCACAGATTCAGGCAAAACGTCGGGAGAGAGTGCTTCTAGAACATGGCCAGAGAGCCCGAAAAACCTAAAACAACCCAGTGATTCCGGCCATGAAAGCCTTCAACAATATGCCATCGTTACTGTTTTCATTTTTGGTAAAAGCAGATCTATAATGCATTTATGTGTTGGAAAATATACATTCCACCAATATATATACACATACTTTTTCAAAATGCAATTTCTCACGTAAGCTAGGTGCTCCCCAAACCACCTAAATTTCTAAATAATGACTTGACAGAGACCATACGCATAAGAAAATAAAACTCTTAAGCTGGATAGATTCAGCCAAGTAAAATTCATTTTTTAATAAAAAATTATAATGGAAAGGCTAAACAAGAGGAGACAGAATTGTCCAACGTAGCCAAAATAACACAGCAAATTACATTATTTGTTGACATCTTCCTTTCAAAACCCTGCAGATTATTTTTTTTTTTTACGTTTTTGACAAAATATATTTTGGGCGTAGCCATAGATTATACATGGGATTTTCTGGCGTGTCTCATGATTACACGTGGGATATATATTTTTTTCAAGTATTAAAGTTTTAACATGTTACAATTTAATTCATTACTCCTAGGATTTTTCGTGTATTCAAGGAATCCAGTTTTGTGTTAAAAACTGGATGCCTCATTAGCTAATTTATATTGGGCACAATCCCATCCAACTGAAGGCGCACAGCTTGTGCATGGAGAACCTCATTGGCTTACGTTGGACGCATTAACTCCCCTGCCTACATTTGTGGACTGCAAAGGTCCATCCCTCCCTTCTTTGCTCAGTTGGTGCTATTAATGGTGAAAAACAAAAACCATTTCATCAAATGAAGGGCCAAAAACTGTCAGGGAGATAAAGAAGAGACCAGGTCATAACTTTTCCCTTTCTCTGAATGGTTCATTCCAACTTTGCTGTGCATGCAGACGGGTGGGAATGATGAAAACTGCAGTCTAATAGAGGGATGGAGATTCTCCATGCACAAGCACTGCATCCATGGACTGGTTTGTGTCCCTTTCATTTCCCCTCGATCCCGCCCCCAAAACCCAACATACAACTGACAACAGAACTTCAGGTCAGGCACCACCTGAGTGAGCAATGGGACAATGTTTGGATCTTTATATTACTGGAATACCACCTCTTTCATTGGTATATGCTTCTTGAGAGAATGAAATCCCACTTGAGTGCATGGCGAAGGCACAGAACCACAAGGCAGGTCTAAGAAATACTACGTACAGTGTCATTGCTTCAAGGAAGGGATCTTACCTGCTTTGTGCAGGGTAAGTAAGGATGGGCAATAAAACACAACAATCCTACCAACCAGAAATTTGGAATTTTTGTGCATGGAGTGTGAACCTATTTTTGCAATCTTTTGCAAATTGCTTGGCTCCATGTAAGCCGCTCCGAGTTGCCACTGGGGAGATGGTGGCAGGGTATAAATAAAGATGATGATGATGATGATGATGATGATTATTATTATAATTTCCAAACACTGTGACTCCCATAGTGAATTGAGGGTTAAAGTCCAAAAAACTACACTTTTCCAAATTTTGAGACAATGCAGTGCATCTGAAATGCCATCAGTGCTGCTTTCGTAAGTTTTTTTTTTGTTGTGTCAGGAGACTTGAGAATCTGCAAGTCACTTCTGGTGTGAGAGAATTGGCCATCTGCAAGGACATTGCCCAGGGGACACCCGGATGATTTGATGTTTTATCATCCTTGTGGGAGGCTTCTCTCATGTCCCCGCATGAGGAGCTGGAGCTGGTAGAGGGAGCTCATCCGCCTCTCCCTGGATTCGAACCTGCGACCTGTCGGTCTTCAGTCCTGTCAGCACAGGGGTTTAACCCACTGTGCCACCGGGGGCTCCGCTTTCGTAAGTAGGTATGCTCTAATTTGGAGTGGATTTGATCATGCACATAGGTTGCAATGTGACATCAGATGCATGTTGCAATGGCATGCACTACTATATACCACTATTGTTTTTAAAAGATGTTGGGGTTATTTTGTGGCATTCTGAAGTTCACTATTGCTGGGTGCATTTTTGGAGGGAGGCTCTTAAACATGTTACCAGCTTCTGTAATGCGTAAGATGCCTTGTGTCTAGACCAAGGGAAGTCATAGTCTCATTCTATTCTGCTTTGGGCAGACCTCACCTGGAATAACACTATGTCCATAGAATAATAGAATACTAGAGTTGGAAGGGATCTCATGGGCTATCCAGTCCAACCCGCTGCCAAGAAGCGGGAAAATCGCATTCAAAGCACCTCTGACAGCCTCTGTTTAAAAGCCTCCACCACACTCTGTGGCAGCGAGTTCCACTGCTGAACAGCTCTCACAGTCAGGAAGTTCTTCCTTATGTTCAGATGGAATCCCCTTTCCTGTAGTTTGAAGTCATTGCTCCGCGTCGTAGTCTCCAGGGCAGCAGAAAACAAGCTTGCTCCCTCCTCCCAATGACTTCCCCTCACATATTTATACATGGCCTCTGTTTAATAGCCTCCAAAGAAAGAGCCTTCACCAGATTTGTGCAAAGCAATTCGACAAGGATATTGTCATCCTGGAAAATGTCCGGAGAAGGATGACCAAACATGGTCAAAGGTCTGGAAGCCAAGCCGTACGAGGAAACACTGATGGAGTTGGGTATGTTTACCTTGGAAAAGGCTGAGAGGTGACAGGTGTGTTTAAATGGTTGAAAGTGATGCTATGTTGAGGAGGGAGCAAGCTTGTTTTCCGCTGCTCTAGAGACTAGTAATGGATTCGAATTACAGGACAAGTGTCTCCAATGGTTGGTAAGTACTGTTTGATGGTGGGATTGGCTGCTGCCTGAGAGTCCCATAGAGTCCTCTTCTCTGGAGGTTTTTAAGCAGAGACTGGATGGCCATCTTTTGGGAGAGCTTTAATTGCTTTTTTTTTCCGGGTTGGAATGGATGGCCTTTGCAGAGAAAGCCAAGGAACCGCTAGGCCAGTGGTTTTCAACCTTCCTAATGCCGCGACTCCTTAATACAGTTCCTCATGTTGTGGTGACCCCCAACCATAGCCCTAACATTATGAATCGCCATGTTAATAATGATCTGCAGGATGTATTTTCATTCACTGGAGTAAATTTGACACAAATACCTGGTATGCCCAAATTTGAATACTGGTGGGGTTGGCGGGGGGATTGATTTTATAATTTGGGAGTTGTAGTTGCTGGGATTTATAGTTAACATATAAACAAAGGGTATTCCGAACCCCACCAACAATGGAATTGAACCAAAGTTGGCACAGAGAACCCCCATGATCAACAGAAAATACTGGAAGGGTTTGGTGGGCATTGACCTTGAGTTTGGGAGTTGTAGTTTGCCCACATCCAGAAAGCACAATGATGGATCTGGACCAAACTAGGCACGGATACTCAATATGCCCAAATCTGAACACTGATGGGGTTTGGGGAAAATAGACTTTGACATTTGGGAGTTGTACTTGCTGGGATGTATAGTTCACCTACAATCAAGGAGCATTCTGAACTCCACCAATGATAGAATTGGGCCAAACATCCCACACAGAACCCCCATGACCAACAGAAAATACTGTGTTTTCTGATGGTCTTTGGCGACCCCTCTGACACCCCTTCGCGACCCCCCCAGGGGTCCCGACCCCCAGGTTGAGAAACACTGCGCTAGGCTAAGCTGGCCCGGATGGCCTTCGCAGTCCCTTCCAACTATGATTCCGTTCCATGAGTCTAACAATGCTAAGCAACCAACCTGAGCTACCGCCAGACAAATATTACAAATCCTCCCTGCCCCACATCTTCCTGAACAATTATAAATTGAGTTTGGGCTTATGTCAACTACCAGTGATATAGTTAAGTTAATTAATTAATCCTTAAGGTGCTATGACACTCTTATAATGCGCAGGTATCTGTGCCTTCAAGTCACCCATCAACTTATGGCGGCCCTGTGGATTTCATAGGGTTTTCTTCGGCAAGGAACACTCCCAGGTGGTTGGCCTGTGGTTTAAGATGCTATTTTGCAAGAGCTTGGTAGATTTGAAAATCCCAGAGTTAATTTCAAGGTGATTTCTTTAAAACAGAGGCCAGGCTGGTGAGGGGGAAGTTCCATTGTCCGTTGTATGCGGATTCCACAACGTTACAAGACACTTTTAATAATCAACATTCATTCACAGACATTTAAGGCAACCGGTTAGAGATAAAATCACTGATTTTATAAAAAAGTGAACACTGAATGAAAATGGTCTGTATTATGTACAAACAGATCTCATAAAACTGTCAGAAGGTCACACCACACTAGAAAGGGCAAGATGATATCAGCTGGCAGTTGGGAAGATCCAGAGATTGAGTACAAGAAAGAAGAACCACCCGTGGTTTTCTTTAGACTTAAATCCAACGATTCCCATCATCCTTGCCCCCGCTACAACCTGAATACTTTCCCTGCAGACTGCATTTGAGGCTCAGAAGGCCAGAAACACAGTGGAAAAAATACTGCTCAGAGAACACTCTTTGGCAGTACAACTGTTTCATTATTTTTGAATTCAAATACAAAATCAGGAGAACACTTCGAATGACAGTTAAGCTTTATGGACTAACCAGAATCCATACTTTTTAAAAATAATAATAATAAAAAGGAAAGAAATGCCCTAATGGTTGGGTATTTTCCATGTTGCCAAATTCCTGGCAGACGAAACATACAGTACTAAAGGGAATGACCTCCAAAGGGCAAGCAATGCGTTGATGGTGTTATCGATGGGAGATCCTTTTGGGGTTAATAGGTCTGTCCTGCTTATAAAGAGCGCTGCAAACACTGGGAGAAACTGCAGTGCGGCAGCTTTCCCCAGACTGGGGTTTCTTGAGATATGCTGGAAAGCAACTCCCATAATCCTACTATGAGCTGCAAGCAGAGCCATGGGACTGATGGGGATTGCAGTCCAATTCATTTCAAGGGTGAAGGTTGGGGATGACTGGAGCAATGTCTGTCTTCTACTGTGCCTGTGGTAACCTATGGCAGCCCCCTCCAACCTGGTGGCCAGGTCAGCTGGGGATAATGGGAGCTATACTTCAGCACATCCCAATGATGATGGGGAAGGCTGACCTTTTCCATGCTCATGGAGGTGTTCCCCACCTCCTTCTTCCAGTGAATTAATGTGTTCAAGCTGCTTCTTAGATGTTTTTAGCTAAGGAGTAGAAATCCATTCCAGCTCCTTGAGGAGGTTCCTACTGGCCTTATATATCCAGGTAAAGGCAAGGAGTGACAACAAGCCAGCTTCAGCATTCGACAGCTGACTGGGTTGAGCACCAAAACATTTTTGGACAATTCCTGTCCAGTATGGCTAAATTTGAGCAACTACTATTTCCACTGGTGTAAATCTGAGCTTCGTGCGGTCCAAAAAAGGTATTTTTGATAGCTCAAGGACAGACTCTGACATTCTTTGCCAAAGTCGAGGAGGGCAGGATCAAATTTGAAAGTGATGCTCCAAAGCAACACAGAACAATTTAAGAATACTAATGCAAACTCTCAGTGGAGTGATTTCAACACTTGGATAACTCCCAACTCAACGTTTTTCATAGTGAAACTCCATTTTAATATTTTCTGCACTCCTGTTAAGGGTCAACAATCCCAGATCTCACTTGAGAGATGCTACAAAATCTTTTAGCCATGGGACAAATCAGAATCAACTTCGCTGTTTCTTTTTTAACAAGAGAAGCATAGAAACATAAAAAAAAAAAACCCAAAGTACTAAGAAGAGGGAACACCACCCCAATTTTTCTAAAGGCAAACTATGGAGTTATCCTTGATGACATTAGCCAATATATGTTGTTAAAGGGCCTTTAGCAGAAAGCCAGCGTTTTGATTTGTTGCCCGTGTTTTGCAGCTTTTCAACAAAGGTTTCAGCAGCACAGGCACAGTGGCGAAGAACAGTATAACAGCCAGGGTTCAGCTCTGTTGGGGGAGTCTTCTGAAGCAGCAGTCCAGAAAATATCCAGAGCACAATTAAAGCGGGAACTGCCTCCTGTGCGTGCCCCATTGTTTGGGGTGAAAAGTGTGCTCCTGGTTTACCTCCCAATTTTTTTTATTGGGCTATTTTGGGGGAGGGGGTATTTTGCAAACAGCTCAATTTACATCTTTGCTTATGGGAAGAATTCAAGCTTCATAAATAATCCCCTCGTCTTCAATAATTTATAGCAGTATCTCATCACTAACAACAGAAATACCTGGCAGTTGTGCGTTAGCAAAGGCTATCGAAGACCCTTCTGGAAGGCGCTGAGGAATATGCTTGCCACTGTGTGTGTACATCTCATTCCATTTCGCCATACTCGGTCGGAAAATGCAGACAAACTGTAAGCTATGTGCAAAACATGCCCCAAATTATTAAGACAGTTATGTCACTGACGTATATACCGTATTTCATTGCATTATTGTTGCCACAGAGTAATTTGGAGGTGGCAAAATTGGTATTTTTGTGTTCCTCGCATAATAGTCGCAGAGTCCTTCCTTCTTTCTCTGAAGGAAAGGTAGTTTAAAAACTATAAAACTGAGATCTTTGGAACTCGGGCCTTATCTCCTTTCACCAAAGAGCTGCCTTGCCTTTGGAGAAAAAGGAAGAAGGGAAGATCGGAGTTTCAAAGACTTCCATTTCTGGAAAGGAAGAGGATCTTCCATCCTCTTTCCTCAGAGGGAAAAGTTTAAACAAGCAAACAGAAACAAGGCTGTTTGCTCAAGGTTGGATCATCCCTCCTCCTCTTCCTCTTTTAAAGATATAGCCTTATTTTTTAAAAATTAAAATCAGAAACTGGAGAATCAAAGACAGATTTTTTTCATCACGTAATAGTCGCACCTTCCTTTTTAGGATAAAACAGGGGGTGTGACTATTATGAAATGAAATATGGTATATTACCCAGTTGACTGCAGTATCCCTGCTTACATACTACTGATTCTTTCAAGCTTGACCCAATGAAAAACTAATACAACATCCAAGAAACAGAACCCCCATCCAACTGCTAACAATGTTCTCCTTTTTACCTCCACATAACACGATGCTCAATAAAAGATTTCCAACGCCGTTTTCCTCTTCTTTTTCTTCTTCCTCTTCAAGCATTTAAACAATACAAGACTAGAAGATGTCTGGAAATACGCCTCATACAAAAATGATTATTTTTTTCCTTTAAATCTTAAAACAACATTTGAAAAGGCACTTTTATCATGGAAGAAAGAAAGTTCAGAGTCAGGTCAACTGCTCTATAAGCAGGATGGAGTGGGGGGAATGGTCTGCATAGCGGGATGGGATGGGACGAGTGGGGATGGGAAAAGGGTCAAGTCGACGTGCTGAAACAACATCAAGCTTTAAATATACTTTTTTGGCATGTTTTAAGAAAAAAAGCAGGATCTGTAAAAGGTGTCCATTTATGAAATTCATTAAAACAGTCCCATTCAAAATAGCTTTGTTTCGATTTCTTATATTTTTTTTTCTTTAAAAAAGTAGTCTTATCACCTTACGGCATCAGTATTCCCACGATTTTAGTAGCATCAGTTCACGATTGTCCTTCACGTACAGCATTGCAAGAGGAAGAGCGAGAGTGTTTATAACTCTTGACGTGAGCAGCCTCTTTGAGATGCTGTGTTAATTCTGAAAGCCCCCCCAGAGGGGCTGCAGCCAAGCAGTGCGTTTCGGCTTGGAAGGCTACCTGTTGCAGAGTTTATGAAGCATAGTGTAGACCTCCTCCTCTTTGCTTAGTCCTTCAAAGAACGGAAGGAGGTCTAACAATTCCGTGTCTGTCATGTCATCAAACCAGGACTGCACAGGCACCTAGAACAAAAAAAGAGCATAATTTATCTGCTTTTTAAAAAGGCAAATGTCTTATTGGGAAACCTACAGCTGGAGTGGGCAACTGAGGAGGAGGTGGTACTCTGTTTCCCCGTTGGGCCACACCAATATGTTTCACTTACACTAGAAAGCATGTTGTAATGAATCCCTTACCTTAGCTGGCTGGCTACATGCCACATTATCACGGGGTGTCTGCGCCCTACACCACTGGAGAAATTACACTGCTTAGCCGGCATTGCACCACCTGACATCCGCCGGGAAGTAGCAGCCAATAGTGAAAGGACCAAGGCAGAGACATCTCCAGCTCATCCCCTGTTTGGGATCAGCCAGCACGTCAACGACTTAAATCAAGAAATAGTTTTCTAAGATCTACAGAGACACTCGCTGGAACACCCCAGCAAGCGAGAGTCCAAAAGTGGCAGGCTCAAACCAGACCTCTACGTGGGGTTGCCTCTGAAGACTGCCCGGAAGCTGCAGCTAGTCCAACGCTCGGCAGCCAGACTACTAACGGGTGCTGGGTACAGGGAGCATACCACTCCGCTGTTACACCAGCTCCACTCGCTGCCAATTAGCTTCTGAGCACAATTCAAAGTGCTGGTGTTAACCTATAAAGCCCTAAACGACTGGCCCTCTTTACCTCTCCGAACGTATTCTCCCCTACAAACCATCAAGATTTAAGATCATATGGAGGGGCCCTGCTCTCGGTCCCACGCCTCACAAGCCGGCTGGTGGGGACGAGGGACAGGGCCTTCTCGGTAGTGGCACAGCGACTCTGGAACTCTCTCCCGCCAGAGGTTAGAACCGCCCCAACAATCCTGACATTCAGGAAACAGGTGAAGTCATGGTTATGGAGACAGGCTTTCGAAGAATGAGACAATGATCTGGATGGAAGACGGTGTATATTCGATTTTAGTATGACGACTGACCACTGTAGTTTTAAATATATGTGCTTTTTAATGTTTTATTGTAATGTGTATTTTGATATTTTACCGATTGTATGTGTTTTTATGGTTGGAAACCGGGCTGAGTCCCTCTTATGAGGTGAGAAGCTCGGTATATAAAACTTTGAAATAAATAATAATAAAAAAAACCTCAATCAATGGCTGATACCAAATGAGAGACTCCCCCCTGGGCACACAGAAAACTGGGCGACTTGGAAGGCACTGAACAGACTGCGCTCTGGCACCACGAGATGCAGAGCCAACCTTCAGAAATGGGGCTACAAAGTGGAATCCACGACATGCGAGTGTGGAGAAGAGCAAACCACTGACCACCTGCTGCAATGCACCCTGAGCCCCGCCACATGCACCATGGAGGACCTTCTTGCGGCAACACCAGAGGCACTCCAAGTGGCCAGATACTGGTCAAAGGACATTTAATCAACTACCAAGCTTGCAAACTCTGTGTTTTTGTATGTTTGTTTGTTTGTTCTGTCAAAAATGTAATACAACTGTTCGGTTGCCTGACACGATAAATAAATAAGCTGGCTGGCTGAAGCCTAAGGGAGTGGGCCTGGCGAAGCCACAGCGTCCATTTTAGAAAAGGGGGCAGTGTGGAAGCCATTTTAGTTAGGTTTTCCTTGAGGAGGTGTATTCAAGTCTTAGAGGGAAAATGAGGAGCTAGAATTGGCTAGAAAGATGGGGCGGAGCCTACGTGGTTTAGAGGAAAAAGGTGTCCTTTTAAAACAGAGGCTTGAAGTCCCAGTTAGTCAGTTAGGACTTGGAGTTGGAGTTGAAGAGCGAGATTGGGTTTGGAAAAGAAGATTAGGTTAGTCTTTTGTGAGGTATTCAGAGTAGCTATTTAGTAGATAGCTAGAATACTGTGGAGGAGCAGTGTCCAGTTAGTGGACTGTTCAATTCCTAGGGAAGTCTACTTCAGGGTATTTTTGGCTAGATTCCTAAGGGGCAATTTTGGAAGTTACTTTCAGAGATTAATTTCCTGAAGTAATTTTCCGAGATGGAACTTTGAAGACTTGTAACCCAGGAGAGTTTAAGATTTTACTCTAATGCAACCACAAGCTTTTATTGCCAGTATTTTCTGAAGCCATTAAGCATTTGTACCTGAATTATTTCAAGCTTGTTCAATACACATTCTTGTTCTTTTATTAACTTATACCAGCCTCAGTGTGTGTACCTTTGTGGTCAAAGTATTTTTAAAGTCAGCTTCACAGCAGCCACTCAGAAACTATAGTGGCACAGTGTGTGTTACAGAATAAACTCACAATATTACCTCAGCCTGATTAATACTGGTATGGTGGCAGCAGAATTCATTAGAAGAGGCATTTTAAGTCTCTCAGTTCTAGTGTTTCCCAATTCCTACCTTTTTAAATGCTAAGTGTCTCTCCCCTTCTCTGCTCTAATCTCCCCTGATATTGGTGTAATCAGTGGGTTAAAATAAAGAGAACTTTAAATATACAGTTGTTTCAACAACCATACTCCCTCTTCCTTTTGGCGGCTTCATATTTTTGGTGAACAAGCGGGTTCATATTTTAGGAGGTGCCTGTGCGTTATACATGCCAATTCTAAATGTCATTTTGAATAACGTTCAGCATGTATCTCTCTATATAAAAGTCAAAGTATGTACACATGTTTGTCTGTTTGGACCACAAAGGCTATTACTAGATGAAGTGGCCCTCTGTGATGACAATGGATTGGATGTTGCTAGGTGAAGCAGGATCTCTGATGTCACTGGGAAAGAAAGGTGACATGTCTATGAGAGGAAGGGAGGGACTCTCTGCCCCGGAGTGTGGTGGAGGCTCTTTCTTTGGAGGCTTTTTAGCAGGGGCTGGATGGCCATCTGTCAGGGGTGCTTTGAATGGGTTTTCCTTTTTCTTGGTAGGGGGTTGGACTGGATGGCCCATGAGGTATCTTCCAATTCTATGATTCCATTATTCTATGAAGGAAGGAAGAATGGAAGGAAAGACCCACAGAGAGCTATATTGCTACAGAGACATTGTGAGATAGGGCCCTCTGAGGGCTGGAGAAAGGAGAAAAAGGAGGGGAAGGAAGAAAGAAACTGAGTAGAGAGGGAGAGAATGGGGGAAAAACGAGGGAAGGAAGAAAGGAAGAGAAAGAAAAGGGGAAAATGTATGAGGGGAAGGAAAGAAAAATGATGAAACTGGGTGACAGCAACCCCTTCGACACCCAGGAAACAAGGGGGAATATACACTAGTATACACTAGTGCCGCAGAGTTCCGTCCTGGGCCCGGTCCTGTTCAACATCTTTATTAATGACTTAGATGAAGGGCTAGAAGGCAGGATCATCAAGTTTGCAGACGACACCAAATTGGGAGGAAGAGCCAAGACTCCAGAGGACAGGAGCAGGATTCAAAACGATCTTGACAGATTAGAGAGAGATGGGCCAAAACTAACAAAATGAAGTTCAACAGGGACAAATGCAAGATACTCCACTTAGGCAGAAAAAATGAAATGCAAAGATACAGAATGGGGGACGATGATGCCTGGCTTGAGAGCAGTACGTGTGAAAAAGATCTTGGAGTCCTCGTGGACAACAAGTTAAACATGAGCCAACAATGTGATGTGGCGGCAAAAAAAGCCAATGGGATTTTGGCCTGCATCAATAGGAGCATAGTGTCTAGATCCAGGGAAGTAATGCTACCCTTCTATTCTGCTTTGGTTAGACCACACCTGGAATATTGTGTCTAATTCTGGGCACCACAATTCAAGAGAGATATTGACAAGCTGGAATGTGTCCAGAGGAGGCCGACTAAAATGATCAAGGGTCTGGGGAACAAGCCCTATGAGGAGCGGCTTAAGGAGCTGGGCATGTTTAGCCTGAAGAAGAGAAGGCTGAGAGGAGATATGATAGCCAAGCTTGTTTTCTGCTTCCTTGGAGACTAGGACATGAAACAATGGCTTCAAACTACAAGAAAGGAGATTCCATCTGAACATGAGGAAGAATTTCCTGACTGGGAGAGCCGTTCAGCAGTGGAACTCTCTGCCCCAGAGTGTGGTGGAGGCTCCTTCTTTGGAAGCTTTTAAGCAGAGGCTGGATGGCCATCTGTCAGGGGTGATTTGAATGCAATGTTCCTGCTTCTTGGTAGGGGGTTGGACTGGATGGCCCATGAGGTCTCTTCCAACTCTTTGATTCTATGATTTTAAAGTTGCATTGAAGCTCAAGGACGGGTGGAAGATAAGTTATCACATTTGTTGTTAGTTTGGGGTTGATTTGGACATTTAGGAGCAAAACACTACCTGAAAATCAGCAGGATTTATAAAAAAAGGAATTGGCGGGGGGTTCTTGGAGGCCACATAAGAATCATAGGCTACACTTCCCCTACTCTTGCCTGAGAAAACCCAGGGAATTAAAAAATGTTATTGTGAATTAAGATATCTGTATACATCTTGTAGTTCTGCAGCTTCACTATATGGCCATATTGCTCATATCAGGCCTGCTAGTTCTCCCTAATTGTAGCTTGTCTCTTTCCTCCGCCTCCACTTTCCATGCCATGAGGCTTCATTCACAGCTCCAAGAACTGAACATTTGGTACTTTAAGTAAGATACGACTAGATGCTGAATAGTTGGGACAGCTGCTCTAAAGATTCTGAAAACCCCAGCTTTCAATAAGGCTGATTGATTTCTAAGCGCCCAAAGAAGTATTGTTCGAAATGCTGGGGAACTGGAATACGATCAAGAATTGCTTGTGTGGTCCATTAGGTTGTCTGTCCCATCCTTCATTTTAATGGGGCAAATAATGGATATATCTGTGGTTGTTGCAAAAATTCAGGTCCCTAGTCACTAACTAGAGACTGTAAAATCTTTGGCTTGGTAATTGGAACCCAAGTTGATGGAGGGAACAATATACACTTCTTTTCCTGTCTCTACAATACTTGAGTGCATCTCTCTGTTAGATCCAAACACCTTTAAAGACACTACTAGAGCATCTCTGGTTTTGGAAGCTAAGCAGGGACAGTCCCAGTTAGTATCTGGATGGGAGAATGCCAATGAATATTGGATGCTGTAGGCTATATTTCTGTCCCATCCTTCATTTTAATGAATGCATTTCCTTTTATTAACCATCTAGGACTTTAGGATTGTCCGGGGAGGCCCTGCTTTCGATCCCGCCTTCATCACAAGTATGTCTGGCGGGGATGAGAGACAGGGCCTTCTCTGTGGTGGCCCCTCGGCTATGGAACACCTTCCCTAAGGAGATTAGATCGGCTCCCTCACTCTTAACGTTTCGGAGACAAGTTAAGACATGGTTATACGTGCAAGCGTTTACAAATGCAGAGTAACTGACATAGGAAATGGACTCACTTGACAATGGAATTGGACAACGTTTTTAACTAGGAGATGCTGATGATAATGATGTTGGTTTTATTGTTTTTATTGTGGTTTTATATTGTTTTAATGCTTAAACTGTATTTTGCTATTATGTGTACTGACTTGTTGTGAACCGCCTTGAGTCACCGATAGGCTGAGAAAGGCGGTATACAAGTATAGTATTGTTGAAGGCTTTCATGGCCAGAATCACTGGGTTGTTGTAGGTTTTTTCGGGCTATATGGCCATGTTCTAGAGGCATTCTCTCCTGACGTTTCGCCTGCATCCATGGCAAGCATCCTCTGAGGTAGTGAGGTCCTCTGGGGATGCTTGCCATAGATGCAGGCGAAACGTCATGAGAGAATGCCTCTAGAACATGGCCATATAGCCCGAAAAAACCTGCAACAACCCAACAAGTATAGTAAATAAATAATTAATAAATAAATATTTCAGAGGAAGGAACTGGCAAAACCACCTCTGGGGAAAAAAAACTATAATTCCTGGTGCCACTATAAGTTAACAAGTAACTAGAAGGCACATCCTCTACCGTTTGTTTTTGTATCCATACATTCTTAAACAGGGAGGTATGTGTGCTGTTTAAGGACTAAATGGACTGGAGCTGCAGTGATGTAAAACAATAATAACATCTAAACCAATAATAAAAGAAGAAAGCAATTACCCATTAACTCTTTCTTACACCTGGATGTAGAATATGACAATACTACATATAATAATAATAATAATAATAATAATAATAATAATAATAATAATAATAATAATAATGTTCTTCTCCTTCTTATTCTTATTTATTATTTATTTATATCATTTTTACCCCGCCCATATCAGTCCAAAGGCGACTCAGTGGTATTTGTATACCTCCTTCATCTCCCAAAAAGGGACTCTGGGTGGCTAACAAGGCATTGCAAGTGCAGCGTAAATATCAACGAATCGATACATGTGCATAAAACAGTATCACATAAAAGGTATAAACAATCACTATGAACACCTAAAATAAAATAAAATGCACAATTTTACTTTCCATCAATGGTTAAAACTACCTGCCAACAATACACAATTAAAGTGCCAAAGTGTTAACCTAATACAGGCTCATTTCAGCCTACCCGAGGCCAAAGGCCTGTTTAAAACTGCATGTTTTTAGGCTAGAACTGAAGGATTCAAGGGTAGAGGCTAATCTAATCTCTTTTGGGAGGGTATTCCAGAGCCAGAGAGCCACTACAGAGAAGGCCCTCTCTCTCGTTCCCACCAACCGCACTTGAGATGGTGGTGGGACCGAGAGAAGGGCCTCCCTTGCCGATCTCAAAGCCTACGCTGGTTCATAGAAAGAGATCCAGTCTCAGAGAGGTTGGTCCTGAAGCGTATAGGGCTTCGTAGAACAGCTCTACATTCCCAAAAGCAGTCAATGCTTGACTGCCCAAATCTTTAGAGTTCAAGTAACAGTTCCATTACTCAAACACCACTGTAACCATACTTACTGCATTCTCGGGATGGAAGATGTAAGACGCGGGGGAGTTATCCACGATAATAACCTTGCTCAACTCTCGCCCCAGTCGACTTAGATCCTTCACATAGTTTCCTCTGTGGAAAACGCAGGATTCTCTGAAGAGCCGAGCCCTGAACACACCCCAGCGATCCAGCAAGTCTGCCACTGGGTCTGCATACTGTGGTTGGAAAAGAAAATGAAAAGGTTACAGGATTAAGACATAATCTCTGACATTTTCTTCATGAAACTGAACAGCCAGAGTAAAGTTTTACTGACAAAAGTATGATGAGAATTCTTTTTTAAGGCGACTGCACAGGTTTTGATACTCAACATCCCAGAACTCCAAAGGGAATGAGAAGCCTTGTTTTCTATAAGGAGAGATTTTGGGGGAACATTTTTCAAATGAATGGAACTACTTCCTGAACTGCAAGTCTTTCAGTAAGCAAAATTCACTGGAATAAATGGCCCATTTTCCATAAACAAGACCACAGGTTTACAATTTAAAAGTTACTTAGGGTGTAAGTACACTGCAAGGTTGGGGTGAGAATTGCTGGAAGAAACATTAACAACCTTAGATATGCAGATGACACCACTTTGATGGCCGAAAGCGAGGAGGAGCTGAGGAGCCTTCTAACCAAGGTGAAAGAAGAAAGCGCAAAAGCTGGGTTGCAATTAAACATCAAAAAAACAAGATTATGGCAACAAGAATGATTGACAACTGGGAAATAGAGGGAGAAAACGTGGAGGCCGTGACACTTTGTATTTCTAGGTGCAAAGATTATTGAAGATGCAGACTGCAGCCAGGAAATCAGGAGACGCTTCCTTCTTGGGAGGAGAGCAATGACCAATCTTGATAAAATAGTGAAAAACCAATCTTGATAAAACACTGGCAACAAAGATCCGCATAGTTAAAGCAATGTTATTCTCCATAGTCACCTACGGATGTGAGAGTTGGATCATAGGGAAGGCTGAGTGAAGGAAGATAGATGCTTTTGAACTGTGGTGTTGGAGGAAAGTGCTGAGAGTGCGTTGGACAGCGAGAAGATCCAACAATGCTGGGGAAAATGGAAGAAAAAAGGAAGAGGGGTCGACCAAGGGCAGGCAGGATGGATGGATGGTATCCTTGAAGGAGCTGGGGGTGGTGATGACTGACAGGAAGCTCTGGCGTGGGCTGGTCCGTGGAGTCACAAAGAGTAGGAAACGACTGAACGAATGAACAACAACACACTGTAGAAGGAATGTAGCTTGACACCCCATTAACTGCAAATGCCATTGAATAATGGGAATTGTCATTTTACAAAGTCTTTAGCTTTCTTTAGTAGACAGCTGGATCTTCACCAAACTGTAAGACTCCTAGGATTCTATGGCATTGAGCTATGGCAATTAAATTGATGTCAAACTGCACAATACAAATGCACCCTTATGGAATTTTTTGACCGCTGAGCCAGTTAACATGTGAGAATATTTGCAGGTAAGATCCGTTGATGACTAGAATTGTGTACAAACCAAACTTAAGGAGTATTTAAGCTTTATTTCCAAAAGACGTTGATTTCAACATATCTCTCTGCCATGTTTGATCATGGCACAGGTGGCAAAAATGTAAGAATATTTGAACTCAATGTTGCAAGTATGGCAATCAAGAAATGGCTTTGCAGATTGGATTTCCAGAAAGGAACAGGAGATGGAAATAGCTACACAATCTGAAAATAAACATTTATTTATTTATTTAAAGAATTTATTTTCTGCCCTTCTCACTCAGGGCAGAGAACAACATATATAAGGCAAACATTCAATGCCGGAACATAAAATAAACTATAAATATACACAAACACTAAACAGATTGGGACTGCCATGACCAGAAATAATAAGGAGGCATGCAAGCAATATATCTGTCTTTGATTCCATGTGATTATTCATATTTGTTATTGAATATATGTGCTGTTTTATCTCAGACTGAAAATTCTTGGCCTTGATCGCCAAGCTCCAGTAGCCACAGAAAGCATAGTTAAAAGAAAGGGATGCTTGAAATTGCATTTTAACATCTGCAGGACTATATAAGTCCCGATCTTGTCTTTTATCACAGACTCCCTTTCATTTCACTTTTGTATAATTTATCTGTGAAAGGCTTCCCGTCTCTCTGTTTTTTCTTTTCTTTTTTTAGTAGCAGGCATCCAAAAAATGAACCAAATAAATCACAAAATTATAATAATCTCCAGCTAAAAGGGAAAAAGTCTTTTTCATGTCTCTGGAGAATATCTTCTGGTAAGAGGAGGCAAAGCTGGTCTAGACAGCCAGCCTCACTCCATAATCACTCCTTATCTCTTATTTGGAGAAAGAAAATGCATAATCCAGGGTCATTACTTAATATTTGTTGTATTTTTTTTTTCAGAGAGCATATTGGACTGAAAAACTCAAAAGGCTTGCACAAGAGGTTTGAAGTGGTTTAAACAATTATTTTTCAAGAATAGTGAGAAAGAAGGATGAATACTGTTTAAGAGTAGTAAGTTCAAACCCCCTCTTAATTCATGGAATGATGAGGGTTATCCAGAAAGCAAGATTACAAGGCGCGTAGCTGTCACGGGGAATTTTCTCAGGGGATGTTGGTATCACTGCTGTGTAGCAGAAAGCCAGCGGAAGCGAACGAGCTGTGCCAGTCGTCAGTAGCTCATAGACTGGCATTTTGTTGAAGGTTAGAGATGAGCATTCTCATTCCGTTTCAGTACGAAGTTTGCACTGTAATATGCTACCTAAATGCTAAGGGTGGGAATGCAGCTGTAATTCATTGCAAAATCGTTTCAGTTTATGGAGAGGATGTGAATAAATTGTGAGACCATGAAGTAACTTCATGGAGCTAGCCAAAACAAAACATCGTGGGATGCTGATAGTGGGAGTCTGTCTTTTTCATGACAATGCATGTCCACACACCGCTTCATGCAACACAAGACTTACTGACTTCATTTGGTTGGGATGTTTTAAGCCACCCCTCTCACAGCCCCAGTCTTGCACCCAGTGTCTATCATCTGTTCACTAACTTGAAGGAACACCTTGGTGGAAAACACTTTTCGACGACGATGAGGAGAAAATCGAAGTGACGAACTGGCTGAAAAAGCTGGAGGGAAACTTCTATGACCTAGCCATCAAAAATTCATCCCACAGATGACAAAATGTTTTGAACAGAATGGTGATTATGTGGAAAAATAATGCAATACCTATGCTACAATGCATGTAAATTTTATTAAAATATATTCTATCTTTGTATTTAAAAAAAAATCTTGTAACCTTACTTTCCGAATAACCCTCATAGTTTCAATGAATCTTGGAATCCTGGACACTGCCTCTAAAACTATAGACCAACTGATCAAGGGAGTCTCTTAAACTACTTAATAAACATAGTGATGGAACAAATAACAGCCATTATACCATTTTTAAACTGTTCATAGCAAGTCTGGCTCCAAAGGCAATAGCAAGAGAAAAAAACATGATCTAGTTCATGTCTGATTCCTTTAAGATGCTGAACTCAGCGATCTGAACAAGCATGGATGTGTCTTTCGTTGGGCACAGAAATGCACAGGATGAGGTGGAAAATGATTAAATGCACTTGTTGTGTATATCCTTCTCCATCAAACGATAGGTAGAGCCCACACATGCCAAATCTACAATTAATGGATTAACACTAAACTTCCACAATAATTAAATAGTTAAAATAAGAGTGCTAATGCTGCTGAATTTTTCTACATTTATGGTCCTTCACAAGAGGCACAGGGCAACATGGGGTTGGTTTAAACATCACCACTGTAAAAAAAAGAATAACAATGCTGTCTTGGCCTTGGGTTCAAGGCACTGGGCTCAGAACAAGGGATCTGTGTGTGCATACTGCTAACATGAAACGTACCCTGATTTTAATGTACTTTGCAGGTAAGGAAGTCCGATATTTCAACTGAGTGAGACTTTCCATATTCTTAAATAATCACTACAGGGGAGATGTGTTTTAATATTTACATCATGCTTGATTAGCTTAAGAGCAGCAAGCTGCAGAGTACAGCAGAAAAATAAGACATAAAACACATTAAAAACTCAGTAGGTCAACAACCATCTCTTGTATTAATGTCAAAGACTTTCCTAGGGAAGAAAGTATTGAACGTAATTACGAATATATTTAAACAGATGCCTGAACAGGGGCTTTCACAAGCCAAAGTTTACTGTACAAATCTAGAGTTGGCTTTAGAATTGAAAACTAGATTTGCTGCAGGGTATTCTACGACAAAACTCCCACCCTTAGGTCCATGTAAGGGCTGTTCTATCAAACTAGAAATCCCAATTGTATTGTCGAAGGCTTTCATAGCTGGAATCACTAGGTTCTTGTGGGTTTTTTCGGGCTATAGGGCCATGTTCTAGAGGCCTCTAGAACATGGCCCTATAGCCCGAAAAAACCCACAAGAACCTAATCCCAATTGTCTCTTGTAAAGCTCAAACTCATACCACTCTCTTAACAGGTTTAGTAGGTAGCCTAAGATGTACCAATACTTCCCAAAACACGGCTTCTTTTTCTCCAGTTTGCAAAAGTTTGACTTCATTCTCAACCAAGGAAAATGATCAGATTGAGTTTTGCTGCTATCACAACTACAGACGCCATTGAAAACATCACAAGACTAACACAGCCGACTCTACTGCGGAGCTGGAATATACACCACTATGTCTACAAAGCCTCTACAAAACAGAACAGAGTACACAAAATATCTATTCTGTCTTCTCTATTCCACAATACCACAAACGCAGGTAGAATCCTCAAGCTTTACAAGCACAGTTTATAAAATTGTTAACTGCCATGAGCTTAGATATGTTTGGTGCTCTTTAAAAGTCTTGGCTGTCAGTTGCCTGTACCAGCACTGGACAGAAATGGATATATATATGTGACCAGCTTTCGGATATGACTTCATGTAATAAGCTATTTATTCCATTGCTTTTCTTCATCCTGCCCTCCCCCCAATAACCATGGTAACTAAAAAAAGCCTTTCATATTGGCATCTTGAGCAATACATGGAGGCCACATTATGAGACAAGCCCATATGTGATATTGTTACCATGGAGACACTTACCCACACACTAGCAGACAAAAGTACACGCTGCCAGATAAAGAAGCAGAAGAAAAGGGGGGAAGATTAAGATAATTATTTTTCTCCTTGTTTGATACTTCATGTAAAGGGAGGCCAACTTAAAAATGGTCCTTGAAGCAGACCTTGGGGATAATCAAAGAAAGAAAGAAAGAAAGAAAGAAAGAAAGAAAGAAAGAAAGAAAGAAAGAAAGAGGGACAGAAAGAGGAAGAGTGCCTACATCGGTAACATACTTGCTTAAGATCGTGCTGCTTTGGGCCATAATCCTTTGAGTCATTGCTCATATGGATACTAGATCAGTGGCTCTTATGAATTTCTGGGTTCTTGCCATTCAAATTCCAAGATTTTACTCTCACTAGAGCTTGGGAAAAAATACTTTTGGAAGTCTAGAACTACCCAAGGGAGTTGTATTCAAAAAAGAAGGGAGCTTTTCCAAGTTGTGACTCTCACAAAGGAGATCTCCAACAGTCATAAAGGTGTTGTACCATCCCAGAACTAGTGGTGACTTGGAAAGTTCACTCTAGGCCATTTCAGGGTACCTGAAACAAGGAGGTGAAAGACCCAAGATGCAGAGAGAAGGGCGTTATATAGTGGCTTACCTTTGCTAGACTGGCTGTAAACAGCACACATTCAAACAGCTCTCCCATCCTCTGGAGAAATTCATCCACATGCGGTCGTTTTAGTACATAAACCTAGAAGTAAGGAAGGATAGGAAAAGAGAAGCTGGGATTCAGAAATCTATGGTCATTATCATGGAAAATCTGTAAGTGGCAATTGTGAATAATACACTTGCAAAGAAATGACACTGGAGACCGAGGTTCAATCCCACCGATTCAACCATGGAAACGTACTAGATGGCCTTGAGTGAGTCACACATTCAGTGATTTCCAGAAAATCGCACAATAGGCTCACCTTATGGTTACTGTAAGTCGGAAATGACTTGAATGCACAGAACAATGTGAGAAATACATTATTTAAGTGTTCCTTTCCAATGGGGGAAAAAATACAAAAGTATCGTATATACTCGAGTATAAACCGACCCGAATATAAGCTGAGGCACCTAAATTTACCACAAAAAAAACTGAGAAGACAGATTGACTCGAATATAAGCCAAGGGTGGAAAAGGCAGCAGCTACTGGTAAATTGCAAAATAAAAATAGATACCAATTAAATTACATTAATTAAGGAATCAGTAGGTTATCTATTTTTGAATATTTACAAAAATGGTATTTTAAGATAAGACTGTCCAACTCTGATTAAATGATTATTTACCTTCTTCAATGTAAATGTGCTTACGCATCCTTTCAATAATAATAAAGTGAGTAAAATAATGAATGTAGCAATAACAACAATTATACAGTAAAACAATAAATGTATAATAATAGAGTAAAATGATAAATATAATAACAATAAATAGAATAAAATAATAAATGAAATAATAATAATAATAATAATAATAATAATAATAATAAAGAGTAAAATAATAAATAACCTTGACTCGAGTATAAGCCGAGGGGGACTTTTTCAGCCTAAAAAAAGGGCTGAAAAACTAGGCTTATACTCGAATATATACAGTAGCTCAAAGACAGAGCACCCCCCACCCACCACTTTAGGAATACCATTTAGGAATATCATTTAACATAATGATATAACCATTGGCACATTACTTTTCAAAGTTCATTCCTGAGTGATATGGTTACTGGCGCATATGCTTGTGATGCACTTCTTTCAAGCTCTGGTTTTTGTCCCTTGCCTTGAACTGGTGATGAGGATGGGGAGAAGCACAATGATGTAGCCAAGCCATCCTCAGCACTCATTGCTCCAGTATCGACAGTTGCGATCATTTCTTGCTGCAATGCATGGGAGAAGGTGTGCGGACACAAATCTTCCAGCATCCCAGTTCATTGCGCTGTGGCTATTTCCCAGTGCAAGTAATCAAGGATAGGCCATTAAGAATGCACACAGCCTATCCTGGATTACTTGAAGCAGGTCACAGCCTCTTCTGGAAAGACGGCTCATAGACAGCATTGCCCTTTAGGGAAAGAATACATGCCCCAGATCGTCACATATTGAGTTATGCACACAGCTTTCAATTGTACCTCATTCATTTTTTTCTTCTCCTATTCCCATCGCCACCCCTTAACAGAGAGAAAAAATTACTTTGTTTATTTATACAGACTGCTGAAATAGTGCAAGGACTCTCACTGTTCAATATACAGTATATGTTATTGTACCCAGGCACAATGTTCTATGATCTACATTACGACTGAGCTTTTTTTGCAGGTCCTCTTAGACCAAGGACAAACAATGACTTGTACATTCAATAAAATGCAGCTTCCAAGTAGTCACTGAGTGGTACCACTGCAATGGTTTTTTCGCTACATTGCAAACTTGCCATTTCATAAACCTTATTCCAAGTCAGAACTGTATTAACATTCAGAAACAAGAGCGGTATTTAATGTAAAATAGATTTTAAGCATTCCCCAGGTTATTAAATATACTCATCAACTGTTACCTGTGTTAAATAAAATAAATCAAACAAGCAGAGATACAGAGCACTTTAGGCAAAGGTATTTTTGAGAAATAATTTTTTTGGGGGAAATGGGAATTATTAAACAGCTATAGGGAGTGGCTTGCCATTCAACTGCCCAAGGAATGTCTATGGAAGTTTGCTTGGGAGCTTCTCTGCCTTCTAAATGTTAAATTGCCTCTGTGTCTGTCTATATATGTTGCGTGTCTATGGCATTGAATGAAATGGCAGAAAAAAAGTACATGTATATGTACATTGTAATCCGCCCTGAAACTTGGTAATGGGACCAAAAAAAGGAATGATGGGATTGTAGAGCATGATGCAATAATGATGGCTATTTATTTTGGGAAGACAAAGGACAAGGGGTACAGGGAGTATACAAGTGTCCTGTTATGCCAGCTCCACTGGCTGCCAGTCTGCTACTCAGCACAATTCAAAATGCCGGCTTTAGCCTGTAAAGCCCTAAACAGTTCCGGCCCAGCTTACCTGTCCAAACTTATCTCCTTCGATGAACCATCTTGGAGATTAAGATCAACTGATGGGGGGGGGGGGGGCTGAGTTTGGTTGGGGGGGGGGGGGCTGAGTCTGAGTGAAAGAGGGTCTACCCTAGCAAACCTTTTGTATCATTACCCCAATACCCCCATGCATATGGGATATATTGATCATGGTGATCAGATCATGATATGAATAAACATAACAGTTTAAATAATGTACCAGTAAGGCCTTTTCGGGGGGGGGGGGGGGAGGGCTGAAGCCCCTCAACCCCCCCCCCCTCCGGCTACATGCCTGATCTGGAGAGACCCTGCTCTTGATTCCACCTCCTTCGCAAGTGCGATTGGTGGGAACGAGAGACAGGGCCTTCTCAGTGGTGGCTCCTTGGCTATGGAACTCCCTCCTCAATGAAATTAGATCAGAGCCCTCTCTCCTGGCCTTCAGAAAAAAAGTAAAAACTTGGCAATGGGACCAAGCCTTTGGGCAGTAAGCAGTACAAGGAATGATCAGGGATTATGTGCAATAGATATGATATTTGGAATGGCCTGGACTACAATTGAGGGATTTTAATGTTTATATTGATATGTTTTAATTCCATGCTTTAATGGTAAATGTAATGTTTTATAATTTAATTGATAATTGTATGCATTTATCATTGTGTTAGGTTTCTGTATGTGAGGCATTAAATTTTGCTATAATTATGTTGGGAACTGCTGGCAGGGAGAAAAGCGGTATACAAGTAAAGTAAATAAATCTGTATAAATAAAATGTAATGTTCGTTTGTGGGATTAACAGAACTCAAAAACCGCTGGGAAAATTGACACCAAATTTGGACACAAGACACCTAACAATCCAATGTATGTCCTTCATTCAAAAAAATGATTTTGTCATTTGGGAGTTGTAGTTGCTGGGATTTATAGTTCAGCTACAATCAAAGAGCATTCTGAACCCCACCAACAATGGAATTGAACCAAACTTGGCACACAGTTCTCCCATGACCAACAGAAAATACTGGAAGGGTTTGGTGGGCAGTATCCTTTGGTTTTGGAGTTGTAGTTCACCTACATCCAGAGAGCATTGTGGTCTCAAACAATGATGGATCTGGACCAAACTCTACGCAAACACTCAATATGCCCAAATGTGAGCACTGGTGGAGTTTGGGGAAAATAGAATCTTGACATCTGGGAGTTGTAGTTGCTGGGATTTGTAGTTCACCTACGATCACAGTGCTTTCTGAATCCCACCAACAATAGAATTGGGCCAAGCCTCCCACACAGAAACCCCATGACCACCAGAGTGGGCCACAGCAACACGTGGCAGGGGACAGCTAGTAGATTAATAAAATAGTGCCACCAGTGAAAAGGGCTAAAAGGGCATGACAGAGGGTTGGACTAGATGGCCTATGTGGTCTCTTCTATGATTCTAATTCCTCCATATCAGCTGTTCAATCATGTTGGCTACTCTCAATTCATACTTCTGGCTACCAGAAAGTACTACCTGGTCTGATAGGAGACAAATAAAGACTAATGTTTGTAGATGGAAAGTGACCTAGTAGATACTACCTAAATTTCAGAATAACGTCACAGCTGCAATAAAAAAATAATGGAAACAGTATTGTGTTGATGAATTTCTTTGATTTCCTGTGGGATAAAGGAACACTTACTTAAACTAATTTAAGCCTAGTCACATCTTTAAAACATTTTTTTATCCTCCCTGACGACAAAATGTTCCACAAGAAAAAAGCAAAACCATTGGCAGAATGCAAGTAGTACACAATTACACCATTATCAATCAAAACATTAAGTACTGTATAATACAATGGTCTTTAAATGTTACTCAATTGATATTTAAACCAGTGATTTGTATGAATAATCTATATCATGGACATCACCATTAATATCACCATGACTCAAAAGGTTGTCCTCAACTGTTTTTGTGTATGTGGCCTTCAATCCACTTATTGACATAGTTACCCCATGATTTTTATAGAACTTCCTTAGGCATGGGATACCTATATTATTTAGCCAGTTCTTAATGGTCTACAACAGTGGTCCTCAACCTGGGGTCCCCAGATGTTTTTGGCCTTCAACTCCCAGAAATCCTAACAGCTGGTAAACTGGCTGAGATTTCTGGGAGTTGTAGACCAGAAACATCTGGGGACTCCAGGTTGAGAACCACTGGTCTACAACATCTAGCATTTGTTGGTGGTGTCCCATTCAAATAACAACTAGGGTTGGCCATACTTATATTCCCACATCAGACAGGATTGGTGCCTCAGGGTATTTAGGCCCTCTGAATTGCGGGAGTGCGTGGAACAATGTACAGTATAAAACAATAACAGCAGTAACGCAAGTCCATACAATATGTCTTAGAGCAGTGATGCCCAACCTTTGGTCCTCTAGGCGTTTGAGACTCCCAACTCTCAGAAGCCCTGGCCAACTTGTCCAATGGTCAGGAATTCTGGGAGTTGAAGTTCAAAACATCTGGAGGATTAAAGGTTGGATCTAACTGCCTTAAGGAGAACCACATTGAGGAAGAGTGCGCGAAGTCTTCATTGAGAACAAAGAAAAAAGACTTTTGTTGGCTGAAGTAAGTCTATTTATATTCCTGCATATTACATCAACCTCTGAAACAATAAAGGACAGTGGAAGGAAGACAGGAACTGAATTCCAAAGCATGCGATACCGTGAGGAAATCAGGAAATCACAGCTGTTTATAATAAAGTGCACCAGTTTACTATGCAGTTGAAAACAACATATGAGCTGGCAAAGAACATGGGTGGAGTCATTTAGCTCCAAACATAAATCAACAAACAAAAGACAACGGGAGGTTTCTGTATGACAGAAAATATATTCTTGGCCAAGAACAGAGGTCCTTCTAAGTCTTCCCTAGCTAGGATCAAGAACCTTTAAATGCTCACCACATCTAAGGTTGTTTGATCAAACGTTTCATAAATGTAGTAAATAAGAAAAGAGTTTCAGATTGATGACATTTTATACAAAATCAAAGTGGTTTTTTTTTATTTTGGGGGAGTGCAGAGGCTTGGAATCCAGGCAGTCTCCAAGTTACAAACAAGGTAATTTCTGTAGGTTTGTTTTTAAATTGAAATTGTATGTAAGTCAGAACAGGTACATTTTAAAGTGTAACTTCAGCCATATAGGTAGATAGATAGATAGATAGATAGATAGATAGATAGATAGATAGATAGATAGATAGTGTAACACCCCTGTGAAGTTAGTTTTTCTGCCTGTGCCCTTGTTCAGAAGATTTCACCACACTTTGTGTCTGTGAGAACCGGATTTTGAAAAATTTAGCTTGTTGTGGAAACAAAGATTGGGGGTGAAGCTTCAGCTGAGACCCCGTTTCCACATGATAATAACTCTTGCAGGAGTGTATTTACCTTCTAAGGGATAGATTTCTCCTGTTGTCTGACTCTCTTAACTAGGAGTAATTTGTAAGTCGGAGTTGTAAGTAATTTTTAAGTTTGTAACTCAGGGGCTGCCAGTACTTGATATGCACATACAGTACAGATAACCAGTTATCTCGGAGACGGGATCCAAGCATAAACATGACATTTATTTATTTTACATACACAGCCTGAAGGTAATTTTATAATTTTGTCCCCTTGGGGAGATAGGGTGGGTTATGAATAAATAATTATTATTATTTGAAACGCAACAAGATGAGTCCACAGCAAACAAAATCACTCTGCTGGCTGTTGTATTGGATCACACGTCAGAAACTTCCCAAGTGTCTAGGATTGTGTGACGTATCAGCAAATAATGTGTGCAGATCTGAGCAGGGAGGTCTTTTGCAGCTGGCTGATGGTAATTTTATCAGCGCTGATTGTATTTAAGTGCAGGCCAAGGTCTTCAGGCACTGCACCCAATGTACCGATCACCACTGGGACACCTTGAATGGCTTGTGCCAGAGTCTTTGCAGTTCGATCTTTAAATCCTCATATCGTATCAGCTTTTCCAGTTGTTTCTCTTCAATTCTGCTGTCACCTGGGATTGCAACATCAATGTTACATACTTTGTTTTTTAACATGATCATGAGGTCAGGAGTATTGTGCTCCAAAACTCTTTGTCAGTCTGAATTTGGAAGTCCCAGAGGAGTTTGACATGCTCATTTTCTGTAACTTTTTCAGGCTTGTGATCCCACCAGTTCTTTGTTGCAGGCAGATGGTATTTGTGGCACAAGTTCCAATTAATCATCTGAGGAACGGTGTTATGCCTCTGCTTGTCGCCTGTCTGTGCGATCTTCTTCCAGCAGCTGAGGATGTGCTCCATTGTTTCTTCTGCTTTCTTGCAGAGTTTACATTTCGTATCTGTCGTCAACTTTTCAATTCTGGCTTTGATGGCATTTGTTCTAATGGTTTATTATTATTATTATTATTATTATTATTATTATTATTATTATGCATGAAAAAAGTTTGCATACAGTGAACCATCAGAAAGCCAAGATGTTACTATCTGAGCCACTCATGTGGACAGTTTTGGATATTAGGGTGTGTTGGAATTCCAGATAAAGGATACTATGATAATGATGATGATTATTATTTCATCTTTCTCCCTATAGGGACTTGAAGCAGCTAACATCTATCCACACTAAACAGTTTAAAAAGTGCAATACAAGTTATTAAAAAATTAAATAATAACACTGTGGTACTCTATCGTATACTTAGAAAAAACAATGAAGATTATATAGTTATTTGTCTTCACTGCAGAAGAGGAGATCCTCATTAGAACTTTTTTTCTCATTAGAAGAATGAGAACTTTGCTGACCAGAGATGACAAAATGAGAGGCTCTTAACATTTCTCAGTCAAGCAAATCAGCTGCTTGCAATTAAATTGATGAATCTAAAGCGAATGGTCCTGATCACAGAACTCTGTATTCTGTTTACTTCTGTTTATTTATTTATTTATTTATTTATTTATTTATTAATGCGCTTGTATACCGCTAATATCTCAGCCTAAAACGGCGACTCATTGCAGTTTACAACACTTAAAAACAACAATATTCAATTTAAAAACACAATACACATATACAATACACAGTATATGTTGCTGGAAAAGTGTCTTTTTGATCTATTGTTGAAGGCTTTCATGGCCGGAATCACTGGGTTGTTGTAGGTTTTTCGGGCTGTATGGCCATGTTCTAGCAGCATTCTAGAACATGGCCATACAGCCTGAAAAACCTACAACCCAGTGTCTTTTTGGCCTTCCATTCCATATATGTAACTTTGTGTTGCTTTAGCCACCCTGCTTCTTTTTGACCTCCAGTGATAAATTCCATGTTTTTGTTAACAGTTCATCAATTTCATATTTGAAGAGTTGTCTGATCCTAGAGAGTAACGTTTCCTTTAAATCTTCTGATTAGTTCTAATCAAACACGCCATCCTTTGCAAAGGTAAGTTAAGAGCCTTTCTGGTGTGTGTATGAGTGATCTTTTTCCAATCTAAATATTAATCCATCATTTTTTACTAACTTCTTATGGAAAGATAACTCCCTCGTGAGATCATTATGTATACACCCAAAAGGCAGAAGACAACTGGTGAAATTCTTGAAAAATAAGATAAGATGAACAAGGCCATCTTAAGCTTAAAAGAACCTCTTACACATAAAAAGCTTGCCAACAGTATACATGAATTAAATGGTAAATGCAGAGGCAGTACTCACCTGATGTATAGTTCCATCTATTTCAACTGGAACAATAAAATCAGCATTGCTAATTGGCTAGAAAAGAGAAAATAAAGAGTCATTTTAGGACATGAGAGCAATTTCTACTATAACAAATTCCCCCATGACACACTCTCAAGGAAAGTATCAAAAGTGACAACAGAGCTCTGGAAATCTGCACACTTTTGGTAGCACAATTGTCACTGAAAGCTCTCTCAGGATAACTGCCAAAGAACTGGAAAATTATCCTGTTCCAATATTTGCGCACCCAAACTTATTGCGTAAACACATTTGTGCCTCCAGCTTTACAAATGGGACACAATGGCTGTCAAGATGCTTTTAGTCCCGCAGGAGAGGGGTTTGCTTAGATCCTGCAAACAAATTCTCCAGGTAGTTCCTGTCAAAGGGACATACTTCTGAAGAGGGGCTTTAGGAAGGACAGGATGGGAGGGAGACCTCTGAAAGAGACAGGGAAGAAAGACTGCGACATTGCTGCCCAGCTGCAGTTGGTCAATTTGTGAGGAAAAGCAGCAGCTTCCAATATCCTTGGAATCATAGAGTTGGAAGAGACCACAAGGACCATCCATCCAGTCCAACCCCTTGCCATGCTGGAATGAACAATCAAAGCAGCCCATCATTCCCCATCTGTAGTTCAAATCATGAGCAAAATGGCTCCAGTATGTGGTTTTTGACACTTGCAAGTGATGAACGTTGATTAACATTCAAGTACTTTCCAGAGACCAGGGTTCAATTCCCCTTGGGTTGGAAGCGAAGAAGCATCAACACTTGTATGGGGGCAGAGAGAACCCTATGGAGCAGTGTTTCTCAACCTGGGGGTCGGAACCCCTGGAGGGGTCGCAAGGGGGTGTCAGAGGGGTCACCAAAGATCACCAGAAAACACAGTATTTTCTGTTGGTCATTGAGGTTCTGTGTGGGAAGTTTGTCCCAATTCAATCGTTGGTAGGATGCTCTTTGATTGTAAGTGAACTATAAATTCCAACAACTACAACTCCAAATGTCAAGGTCTATTTTCCCCAAACTCCACATTTGGGCATATTGAGAATTTGTGCCAAGTTTGGTCCAGATCCATCATTGTTTGAGTCCCCAATGCTCTCTGGATGTAGGTGAATTACAGCTCCCAAACTCAAGGCCAATGACCACCAAACCCTTCCAGTATTTTCTGTTGGTCATGGGAGTTCTGTGTGCCAAGTTTGATTCAATTCCATCGTTGGTGGAGTTCAGAATGCTCTTTGATTGTAGGTGAACTATAAATCCCAGAAGCTATAACTCCCACAGGACAAAATCAATACCCTCCTCCAATCCCACCAGTATTCAAATTTGGGTGTATTGGGTCTTTGTGCCAAATTTGGTCCAGTGTATGAAAATCCATCCTGCATATCAGATATTTACATCACTATTCACAACAGCAGCAAAATGACAGTTATGAAGTAGCAATTGAACTAATTTTATGGTTGGGGGTCACCATAACATGAGGAAGCGTATTAAGGGGTCATGGCATTAGGAAGGTTGAGAACCACTGCTATGGAGTATGTCGGCTGTCTTGTTTCCCCTCTCTTTCTACATCTAGGTAACCCAAGGTGTTTTGCTTCCTGTTAGTCTATAAAGGTCACTTCCCCCTTCTTCCCAATTCACTTTTGTTTGAGAAGGGAGAATCATGAGACTTTTTCTGCCTCAAGATGTCTTATGTCTAGACATGAGAGTCAGGGAGTCTCCTATTTTTGTCTAGCTAGTATTTTATACAAAACATATTACAATAAATAAATTTTTATTTCTTTTAAATTTTACCAGACCTTTCTGTGCATTTTCTTTCCTGTTGCCCACCATAAACTCATATAGAGCACTGGCTATGCTGTACTCTACTCTGTTATAAATACCAAATATTCCTATAGGATACACTACTACTCTCTGCTTCCCTAAGAACTTACAACAATCTACAAAAATTTTGAAGAGTTATTTTCCTATTAAAATGGAGAATGGTAATACTTCCCAGAAAAAAGGCTCGTGCACTGAATTCTCTATAAAACAAAATTCATGAGATCACTGACATGGAAGCCATAAAACCTCAGCTTTTATCTTCAACACAGAAGGAGGTGGCATTTCAGAATGTACTATTACAAACTACAAGTAGGGAAGTGTCATTATTGATTGATCCCTTTTGTTTCTTTCAAACAAATGAAAACCCAGCAGAGCACAGAGAAAGATTTGCAGAGGTTGTGTGTGCACATCTCTCTCTCTGATATGTTGGGTTTCTACTTATAGAGAATGTTTTCTTTTCATTCTTTAAACAGGGAAGAACATTCCAAAGCTTTGATTCTTTCTCAAAAACCCAAAGAGCAGTCACCCACTCCACTATCTCAAAATACTGTCAGTTCTTGGTCAGTTCAATTCATAAAAAGCTGGGCTTGTTGATTTTCTTTTGTAGTTAACTAGAACTGTTTCACACAATGCTCTAGGTTTCCTGAAGCTCACTGCAAGGAACAACTGAAAAGCCAGATACAAAGCTTAATGGGTTGCTGTGAGTTTTCCGGGCTGCCTGGCCATGTTCCAGAAGCATTCTCTCCTGATGTTTTGCCCACATCTATGGCAGGCATCCTCAGAGGTTGTGAAGTCTGTTGGAAAATAGGCAAGTAGGGTTTATATATCTGTGGAATGTCCAGGATGGGAGAAAGAACTCTTGTCTGTTGAGGATGCCTGCTGTAGATGTGGGTGAAACGTCAGGAGAGAATGCTTCTGGAACATGGCCAGACAGCCCGGAAAACTCACAGCAACCCAGTGATTCTGGTCATGAAAGCCTCCGACAATACAAAGCTTAATGCTGTTTGTTGTAGTTTAATTAATAAGAATGTGTGTCCTCTCATTTGAACACTTTAGATAAAATATTTTAGCATAAAATGAACAGAGATGCAAGGTAACAAAATCTTATATACAAGGAAAGTAAAAGTCACTCCAAAGGCAAAAGCTGTCCTTAGTTTTTAACAAGACAGCTCCAACCATTATAAGAGGAGACCAAATTCCAAATCACCAAGGTTAAGTAACATCAACAGGACTTTTAATTCTCCTTCCTTTGTGTTGCTATTTATAAACCACATCATAAATGCATTAGTTCTTTCACAAATATTTCTCTGACCCATATAATCTTGACATTAAATATCTTTCAAAAGACATTCCGGTTTGAGAAGCAGTGCTGCAAGTTAATCTTTTCCCAAAAAAAGCCACTACCCAGAGACATGCATCCTAGCCTGCATTAGCCAGTGATGTGAATTTCTATCAAAATTGTTGAAATATTCATGAGTTTTTTCCCTGCTATTTCCAACGATACAACTCTTAAGATTTGCTTCGTTCTGTAGAGAGCCCAAGGAAATCTGTTGTGTTATAAATCATGTCTTTCAAAAGAATTGTGAACAAAAGTTACCTATTTCATTACGGAACAATGGAATTTGCTACGTGAGGTGTGGTGGTAAGTACAGATACTAAGGAGATATTACAGCAGTGGTTCCCAACTTTTTTTTGATCAGGGACCACTTTGATCAGGGACCACTGACCAACATTAGCACCCAAAGGGTTATGGATCAGTTTTTGATCAACTTTAGATTTGGTTTGATTATTTGGGGCGCTGATTCAGAAAATTGCACTGCATAAACCACATCAGGTCTACTTTCTAATATAGAAAATATGCCATCCAGTAGTCACCATTTGCTTGCACACAGAAAACCATATTTAATCATCTGGAGCTGTGGACCTTATTTTAGGTCTTGCGGCCCTCCAATGGGCCAACTGGTTGGGAACCACTGTATTAGACAAACACATGGAAAATGAGGCTATTTACAGCTATTAGTCATAATGGTTTTATATATATATATACCACCTTCAGAAATTCTGGTTCTGGTTGCTTCTGCCAGGAAGTGGTAGCCAATAGTGAAAGGACCAAGGCAGAGACATCTCCAGCTCATCCCTTGTTTGGGTATCAGACAGCACATCAACGACTTAAATCAAGAAATAGTTTTCTAAGATCTACAGAGACACTCGCTGGAACACCTCAGCAAGTGAGAGTCCAAAAGTGGCAGGCTCAAACCCAGAACCTCAATCAATGGCTGATACCAAATGAGAGACTCCCCCCTGGGCACACAGAAAACTGGGAGACTTGGAAGGCGCTGAACAGACCGCGCTCTGGCACCACAAGATGCAGAGCCAACCTTAAGAAATGGGGCTACAAAGTGGAATCCACAACATGCGAGTGTGGAGAGGAGCAAACCACAGACCACCTCCTGCAATGCAATCTGAGCCCTGCTACATGCACAAGAGAGGACCTCCTTGCAGCAAAACCAGAGGCACTCCAGGTGGCCAGATACTGGTCAAATGACATTTAATCAACTACCAAGCTTGCAAACTCTGTTTTGTCTGTTTGTTAAAAATTTGTTAAAAATGTAATACAATTGGCTGGTTGATACTGACATGATAAATAAATAAACCTTCAGAAATGGGACTGGCACTCCCTCTGAGTTTGATTTGCTGGAATGAAGACTATTGTATTCTGCTTGTGGGCTTCCTATAGGCATCAGCTTAGTCAGCTTGGGGACCAGGATGCTAGATCAAACTGGCTTTGGGTTGGATCCAGAAGGGATTGATTCTGACTTTTATGCAATACCTAAAGATGCCAGAAGATCTCCTTAAGACACCCACAAGGTGCCCATCATAATTCTATGTATTTATATATTTAGAAATCTACACAAAGGCTATCCCCAAGCTACAAACATCTGACTTATGAATGACTCCTAGTGAAGAATGAGGGTGAGCCAACAGGAGGTGAGAGAAATCTATCTCTAGAAAGGGAAATTCATTCCTGGAAGAGTTCTCACGGGGGGGAAAAGGTGTGTCCACTGAAGTTTTCTCATCAATCCTTGTTTTCAAAATCCACAAGAGTGTTAACCTTTCCTTCCCCATATATACTGACACACAAAAAAATATCTATTCCAATTTTCATTTAAGTTCATCTTAAGAACCAACCAACAAAATCTATCTTTTTTGTGACTTGGGGGCTAACTCTACTATATTACCCTTTGCAAGAATTTGAGATTAGCTAGAACATGGGGAAATGTAAATACAGGGCCAAAAGGACGGAAATTACATCCATCCAACTTCACCCGAGGTACGTTGCTAGCAAAACACTTTTCATAGGCAGGGCATCACAAATTGTGTAATCTAAAAAATGGAGACTTGGAAGAGAGCCATAAAACATGGCAGTAGTATTTGGACAGGTTCATGTAGGAGGCAACTATTTAAAAGAGTAAGCTTGAACTACAATGTGGCACAGCTCAGCTTAATTATGGGTTTTGGAGAAAGTTGGTACTTTCTCCTTTCTTGAAGCAGAAAGCCTTTCTGTTCTGTCCTTATGACTTCTAAAATAATAAACTGTGTATTACGCACACTCTACAAACTAGATGCAGTCCTCCTCAATAGGGAGTGATCAAATCCCATTGCCATCCAGACATCAGAGCAAAACTCTGGTTCAACAAACCCTGAAGTGTTCTCTTCAGGTGAACACAAGATGAAGAGGAAGGAAGAGGAAGGAGCACTCAAAGCTTATTGCTTTTTCCTACTCCAAAAAAAGCACCTTTTGGTGTGGGAATATTTGAGTCAGATATCTGATTATTAGAATGCTAACATCTGCCAAAAGTATATATTTTCAAGAAGCAACCAATTAATTTCCACCATCACTTTTTGTTGTGAGACATGGTGAATAACAGGATTACAACTTAAATTGGAATTCAAATCTAAAATGAAAATATAGACAACCAAATAAAATCTAGGAAAGAACTAGAAACTTGTGCTTGCTGATTTGGGTGAAGTTTCCAAAGAACTTTCCAATCACCTTCAAAACTATGGTCGGCTCTATCACCGCATGGTTTCCTACGGGATCATATGATCTCCTGCAAAATATGCTAGATAATAAAAGGGCTCTCTGTGATAGAATTGGTGTAGCTGGAAATGTTTACATGTAAATGACACTGGGATGGATGCTGTGTCTGGACTCCTGATCCAAATCGTGGACTACATGACAGAGCATAATCTATTTTCTGGCCAGGGTGGTCCATGCCTTAGTCACCTCCAGATTGGACTACTGTAGTGCGCTCTACGTGGGGCTGCCCTTGAAAACGGCTCGGAAATTTCAAGTGGTCCAAAGGGCGGTGGCCAGGTTGTTAACTGGTGCTCCTTGCAGGGAGCGGTCAACCCTCCTGTTTAAGGAGCTCCATTGGCTGCTGTTCATTTTCCGGTCCCAATTCAAGGTGCAGGTTCTTAACTATAAAGCCCTGAACAGTTTGGGACCCACCTACCTGCGTGACCGCATTTCTGTGTACGAACCTACACGATCTCTTTGATCATCTGGAGAGGGCCTGCTCGCGCTCCCACCCCCATCGCAGGCGTGCTTGGGGACGAGGGAAAGGGCCTTCTCAGTGGTGGCCCCTCGACTCTGGAACTCACTCCTCAAGGGCATCAGGCATGCCCCAACTTTGGCAGTCTTTAGGAGGAGCTTCAAACTGTGGTTGTTCCAGTGCGCCTTCCCAGAATAATGAACCCTCAGCATTATGTCCTCTAAATGCACTTTACACTGATTTAGGATTGCTTGTACGTTTTCACCAATGGCCCATTCTCTCCTACCTTGTTCATGCCYAGCATTATTTTTAAACTTTAATTGCATTTGGCCCAGCCATAGATTTTAAAATGTGTGTTGTATTACGGTTATTRTTTTTTGTTTATGGGTTTTATTTTAATTGTTTATTGTTGTTGTTATTRCTTGTATTGATGTATTGTGGGCTCRGCCTCATGTAAGCCACACCGAGTCCCTTGGGGAGATGGTAGTGGGGTACAAATAAAGTATTATTATTATTATTATTATTATTATTATTATTATTATTATTATTATTATTACAGATGGAAGGGATCAAACTCAGCTGTAAGGATAAGAAAGTCTTAGTAACTACCAGAAGGGACAACTAGGTATCAAACTGAACCCGAATTTGCGGACACAAAAAAGTTTGCTTAGGATAGCCTTTTCTAGGAAAGAGTTAGATTTCCTTACAGAGGGAAAATGAATTTAAAAGGCGGCATTTCTTTTTTATTCACAAAGACATGTACATGCCCATGGGTATATTGGAGGATAATGAAGTTAAGCAAGATGATTAAAGATAATATTATAAAATATACCCTACTGCTGAACTACATGCACATGACTTCCTGCAAAATAAATTAAAATTAGAGTGCTGAATGTGATGCATGTCCCAAATGTGATACTTTAAAACAATAAAACATAAGTGGCAAGCTTTAAAACCCTTAATTGGGCCCTCGGAAATTTGTTAATAAATTCCCATTATGTAGCCCTCTTCATCCTACGTTCTTCTGGAATTATTCTGTTGAAGTAGCTTTGTATCAGAAACGGAATCTCTAGGAAAAATAATCCCCTTTTTTCTCCTTTAAGGTCTCATCTTAAGGTGTCAAATGTGAAAGGCTGAAAATTCATCACAAAAAACAAGGATAAAAGTTTTTATTTAACATTTAGTAAAGGATAGTGATCTAGTGCTTGGTGGTGCACTGGGTTAAAGTGCTGAGCTGCTGAACTTGCTGACCAAAAGGTCACTGGTTCGAATCTGGGGAGCAGGTTGAGCTCCCGCTTTTAGTCTCAGCTTCTGCCAACCTAGCAGTACAAAAACATACAAATGTGAGTAGATCAATAGATACCACTCCGGCGGGAAGGCTAACGGCGCTCCATGCAGTAATGCCGGCCACATGACCCTGGAGGTGTCTACGGACAACGCTGGCTCTTTGGCTTAGAAATGTAGATGAGTACCAACCCCTAGCGTTGGACACGACTGGATGTCAGGGGATCTTTTGTGATCTAATGTTGCAATTTGTTGTACTCTTGCCGTTGTTCTGTGTCTCCAAGTTGACATTGGGCTTACAACAATACAACGAAAGCCATTTAAAAACAATAAACTAAGTGGCATTCCGTCTTACGATGACCTAACGAAAATGTATCGTGGGCTTTTCTTGGCAAGATTTATTCAGATGAGCTTTGCCTTTGCTCTCCTCTAAGGCTGAGAGAGTATGACTTGGCCAGTTACCCAGTGATTTCTATGGCTAAGCGGGTAGAATTACAGACCACAACACCAAACAGGGTTTAAATCACACATTTAGAGTGGTTTGAGCATTGGAGACCAGGCTTCAAATCACTTCTTGGCCTGGGCAAGTTACACTCTTTCAGCATCAGAGGAAGGCAATGGCAAACTCCTTATGAACAAATCTTGCTAAAAATACACTATGATAGGTTTGCCTTGGAATACGTCAGTCTTCTTTAATTTGGTGCTTTCCATATATGCTGAACTACAACTCTCTTTTATTATCCTTGAATAAAGATGTACACAAAGATAATATAATAGCAGAAGCCATAGGGAGGAGGGGGCAAGCTTATTTTTTGCTGCTCTGGAGACTAGGATGCAGAACAATGGCTTCATACTACAAGAAAGGAGATTCCACTTGAACATTAGGAAGAACTTTCTGACTGTGAGAGCTGTTCAGCAGTGGAACTCTCTGCCCCGGAGTGTAGCGAATGCACCTTCTTTGGAGGGTTTTAAACAGAGGCTGGATGGCCATCTGTCAGGAGTGCTTTGAATGCAATTTTTTGCTGCTTGACAGGTGGTTGGACTGGATGGCCCACGAGGTCTCTCCCAAGTCTGTTATGCTATGATTCTATCATCTTTAAATAAACACCATGTACACATATTTTGAGCTTTATAATAAATATTAATTTGCTTCTGCCTCTAGAGTAGGTCATGACTAAATGATATCAGCTAAACTACTCCAAAAAGAGATGAGCAGCAGACATTCTGTAAAGGAAAATAAGGTACATTTATTACAAAATGACAACTCTACTGACAACGAACAGGTGAGGTTGTGAGAATACCAATTCCAAGTGCAAAAGCAACCCAATAGCCCTCTTTGAAAAGAGCAGTACCAGGGAATTCATTATCAAGAACAGCAGGACTTGTGCGAACAGCCCTGCAATGATATGAAATTGTTCACACAGAAAAACACTGTGAATTCAATCTGCCTTTCTCACATTGTTCCCTTACATATAGCCATCCTGCAGTTCTCTTCTATGCTGAAAAAATGTAAGAGAAGACTCTTAATTACATAAACCAGGTCCAAAAATGTGAAAGGCTCCTGGGAACTATTCCAGCATTGGCTGAAGTACATTCAATTTTTTTATGGCTGAAAATGGAATACTTAGAGACGTAGCCTCATATTGGAAACGGGTTCCCATATTTTTCTTTCATGTCCAGGTCTCATTTATACACAAACATGCCCACTGCTTAAATTCTCATCACATACCCAGCAGCTACATTGAAAAACAGACTTTTGAGGCAAGATGGAAATCTTCTCTGAAGGTCACTCATATCTATAGACCATCATTAGATGCTGTGACAATCTGACCAAGAGATATAGTTGTTTTTGGATTCTAAACAGGCACCTTCCTCCTCCAGATATATCTAGCATAGGATCCTAATCTTAATTTTTCAAGATATTTCTGGAAGGTAGACATGTGTGTGAGTGTGTTTCCACTCTCTCCCTCCAGATGTGTTGGACTGTAACTGTAGTGTGGGATCATGGGAGTTGTATGGGAGTAATCCGGCACATCTGGAAGGCATCAGGTTGATGTATACAAACAAATTCATAACAGCATCAGCCAACAACAAAGAACAAACTGACTGGGATACATACCTTAAAGGAACTGTGCACTAGTGTTTCATCTAAATCAATAACCACACATTTCTTCCCATAATCAGATATTGTCATTTCAGGCAAGAGGTATTTAGCTGGTGGCTAAACAAAAAACAGAGGAACACCATGAGATATTAGAAACATAGCCTTACTGAAATGGTAATTAGCAGTACACATATGATGCAGACATAAAGGTTATCATTTTGGTAGGTACAATCTGCAGCATCAACTTGTAGGGTTGATGAAAACCACTGAAGTCCACACTCCCAACTGCTACAACAGACCCCAGAAATAAAAATAATTTTTTGGAAGAAAAATTATGACTTCAGTTTATCCTGAAGTCGTAATTTTTCTTCAAACAATTATTTTTATTTCTGGGGGTCTGCTGTAAAACAAGAACTCCTCGTGTCTTTCTCACCATGGCCAGCTACTGAGATTGGCTTTGGGCTAACAACAATGCACGGAAAGCCAACTTTTCTTACTAAACTAGTGGAATTGTACCATAAATCAATTAAAAACACAAATATCAAGCAAGGTAGATGGAAAAAAGTGGTTCCCGAATATAAATTAAGTCCACAGGAGTGGTTATTATGGCCTATGCCTAAAGGCCTCTCTCATATACAGCTAAAACAGGAAACCTTTTTTGGCAACCCCTGAGCTATCAGGTTTTTTCTCCAACATTTTTGGGAAATGCTTAAGAAAGGGGACAATTGCTACTTGAGGGAAGTGACCTACCACATGGCCCTTCCTTGCCCTCTGTGAACAAGTACCTACTATTTTTGCAAGGAGTGCCCTGTTTTTTGATGGTAACTTAATCCCCCCTCCTCCTTGTAGGGGCAAGTCTTGAGCTGAAAACGAAGCTGCCTTAAAATTCTGGCACATGATGGTCAGGCGCCATTTCCTCATATAACTGGAAATAACATGGGTGGTGAGGGAGGAAAACTATTTTCTCTCTAGTGAGTCAAGTTATTGATCACAGGTCATCCTTAATGAACTTCCCCACAAGCCAGTAGAAAGCCCGTATATTAGGTGGCAAAATAAGGGGACTTTGGTCACTTCTGTAAGCTTCTATGACATTATGAAATGCCTAACAGCACACTGCCATGTTGTGAAATAGCTCATGGGGTTGTAAATACAATTATTCTCCAAGAAGGATTGAAGTACTCCAGGGGAGATGATCCAGAATATCCAATGCATCTTTCAGAAGTCATGTTGGAAACAAAGAAGGGCAGGAACAATTCTGAATGGTAAAAGGCTGATACAGAGAGTCAACTTATTAACCAAAATTAAGTATACAGTGAATAGTCTTTATTACCTAGCCATTTGTATTCAGCACTCTGAAAACCTGACACCGCATTAGAAGACGAAAAAAGCAGAGACGGCATTATGAGAGTAGCTGGACAACTCAAAGCGTTAAAATCATGCCACATGATAGAGAGGACCACTTTGCACATTACATTTCGGAGGTGTGAAAGTGACAAGTCCTTGTGCAGACACATTATCATGCTTGTACATTCTTCAGGAAGGTGGGACTAGTGGCATCTCCCTCTCAAGTGACCACCTGGCAACAAAACTAGATTTTCTGCTGGGTAAAATTGTTAATGGCCCCAAGAGAAGGGCGTGAGCAATGGAAGGTTAAAGGAGTGAAGGGACGATTTGTGATCATGGGAATTATATACGGTTCCAGGTGGGAAGAGCGGATAACATGCAACAATTAGGAACTGGAAACAGACTAAAAATAGTCACAGAAACACCCAATTCATAGCAAAATCAGATTAAGGACAGTGTGTACACAAGGTTTATCTATACTGTAAGGCCTTTGTTGCCTGGCCAGACATCTAGTGCCTACAAGTGGGCTCCCCCACTCCACAACACAACATAATAGACATCAGTCAGCTGAATATTTATTTCAATTACTTATACCCCGCCCTTCTCACCCCCGAGGGGGGAACTGCTGTGCAAAATACTGTATGCTGCAGTCAGTACTATCTGAAAATTATTTAAGTCTCTGCATACACACTGCTGAAAATGGAGAGCATATTGTTCTGAAGGTGAGCCCTGGGTGGAAATATTTCTAGTGAACATCGGCAAACATAAAAGATGAGGAATACGTCATAAGTTCTTCAATGCACAGCGGAGTACTAAAAGCAGCCAGCTTGTGGGGGTTACTTTTATCCATTGGAAAGATTTTATGCAGTCACTATATATGGTAAACAATTGACTGCAGCCACATTGAGCAAAACCATGAAGCCCAGCAGGAAATGGGCTAGAGAAGAGCAGGGAAATGCATACAGCTGGACAGATCATTTTGAGGTTCCTGATGTTTCCTATCTATCTATCTATCTATCTATCTATCTATCTATCTATCTCCCTTCATCCATTTTTGCATGACCTTTGGGTCAAAAGGAGTATAAAATTAGTCACAAATTCAGCAGTTTCTGCTGACAAGAACCCTACGAATCATACAAAAAGGTCAAAAGGGTGGCTGGAAGTGATAAAATATTGCTCGCAGTGGACCCAAAACACAAGTGAAGTGGATTAAAACTATCCCCTATCCACTCTAAGGTTGTCCACTGTTGTGTTAAACAAATTGTACTGTAGTGAGTAGTTAAAACTGGAAGAGTATTCCCTGAAAAAATATATTTAAAGCCCTGAATTCTCATCCCTTTTTTTCGGAGGGTGGAACCATGGATGTAAAGATGACCAAAACAGGAATGAAGCAATTTTAAAATAGTTTTTGCGCTTGGGACACAAGAACTATACAGAGAACCAACAGTAGGATATACGTATATTATATTTTCATATCTTGGGGGTCAATTATTAGAATACTGTGACAAATGTTTCATGAGTGCCTCAAGACCGAACTTTACATGCATCTTTTGGTTCTTGTCCATTATTTGTATTCAAACAGTGCTCAATTCTCATCGTAAAAACCTTGTGTTGTAAACATCTTATAGGTTAGTAAAAAAAAGAACAGTTATACAGCATGCAACACAAAAGCAAATCAAAATTAGGAACATCCAAAAATTTAAAAAAACTTAAAAAGAATAAAAATACATACACTTGGAATGGGAATGACCTGCATCTGGTCACCCTGGGGGGGGGAAAGGGAAAAGAGTTACTGTAAGAATAAGGTATTTCAAAAGACCAAACACAAAGGAAATTAAATTGTCATATTTATTAGTCCGAACTATTCCAACAGAAAATCAATATAGAATTTAAGAAATTAGCAAAAATAGAAAGATTTTTATTATGACAACAAAAAAAATTATCAGTTAGTATAACAGAAGCATTTCCAAGAATCACAATTCTTGCAAATGTAAATCTCTTGAGAGTAATTCCTACAAAGCAAGTCCTTGGTATCTGCAACAAGAGTGTGGTTGCCATGCTTGAATACATGACTCACAGCATTTGGCTCGATTGCTGACAAGCTGAATACTAGGACTAGATTAGAAGGTGGACCTATTTCATGTAATGCACTACCATATTCTGCATAGGCACCCAGTATTTGTGTATGTGTGTATGTGTGTATAACTTTATATCTTTTGCAAGTGTTCTTTACAGAATTATGTCTCACAGGAACTAAATGGCTCAGCCTGTGAACCACACATAGGAATAGTTAAGAAGAAAAGCAGAAGGAAACCATTAGGTGCATTGAAAGCAAGCTTAGTACTGCTTGATTACTAATATTTGGCATAGATCAAAGATTAAAAGGAATGTGTTTTTAATAACAATGTTACCTGGGTGATGAGGACTAAACAAAGGCAGTTTGTTCTTGTAATGTAACTAGCAATACTGTCAATACTGTACAGAGACACTCGCTGGAACACCCCAGCAAGCGAGAGTCCAAACGTGGCAGGCTCAAACCCAGAACCTCAATCAATGGCTGATATCAAATGAGAGACTCCCCCTGGGCACACAGAAAACTGGGCGACTTGGAAGGCACTGAACAGACTGCGCTCTGGCACCACGAGATGCAGAGCCAACCTTAAGAAATGGGGCTACAAAGTGGAATCCACGACATGCGTGTGTGGAGAAGAGCAAACCACTGACCACCTGCTGCAATGCAACATGACCCCTGCTATATGCACAATGGAGGACCTTCTTATAGTAACACCAGAGGCACTCCAAGTGGCCAGCTACTGGTCAAAGGACATTTAATCAACTAGCTAAGCTTGCAAACTTTGTGTTTTGTGTGTTTGTTTGTTAAAAATGCAATACCACCGTTTGGTTTGTTCCTGACACAATAAATAAATAAATACTGTCACTCCTGTGTAATGAGTAACATTTAGCCAGTCCTCTAGGGCTTACATCCAATTTGGATTCCCAGTATAGCAAACCCACTGAACTGATGTACAATTTGTGACAACACTCAAGTAAGCCAACAATTTCCACTGGCTCCATGGGTTTACTCCAAGTGTAAATAGTACAGGCAGTTCCCAAGTTATGAACATGATAGGTTCTGTAGGTTTGTTTTTAAGTTGAATTTGTATGTAAGTCAGAACATGTACATTTTAAAGTGCAACTCCAGCCATATATATAGGCATAGGACAGCATAGGGAAGAGTTAAAACCCCTGTGGTGTTTGTTTTGCGCTCTGGGCCCCTGTTCAGAAGATTTCACCTCACATTCTGTTCCTGTGATAATTGGATTTTGAAAAAATTGGCTTGTTGTGGATCCAAGGATTGGTGAGACAGCTTATTTATTTATTTATTTCATATATTTATATCCTGCCCTTCTCCCCACACTCAGCGCGGCCTCACATGAGCATCAGAGGATGCTAACAGTATAAATACCATAAAATTTACAATTCACAATAAAATCATTTTAATACATTATACAACATCATCCGTAAAATTTAACAATAAATTAATAGATTAACGTGTTAGTAAAACCAAGCTGAGCCGGGAGAATGTCGCAAAATCCAAATTTCCTTTTCCTATTGCCGCTGGCCTCTAATTGAACGCCTGGCCCCAGAGCCAGGTCTTCAGTTGTCTTCTAAAGGACAGGAGGGAGGTGGCCAACCTGATATCCTTAGGGAGAGAGGTCCATAGACGGGGGGCCACTGCCGAGAAGGCCCTGTCTCTCGTCCCCACCAACCGCATTTGCGAGAGTGGTGGGATTGAGAGCAGGGCCTCTTCTGATGATCTTAAGCTTCGTGATGGTTCATAGCAGGAGATACGTTTGGACAGGTAATCTGGGCCAGAACTGTTCAGGACTTTAAAGGTTAAAACCAGCACTTTGAATTGTGCCTGGAAGCTAATTGGCAGCCAGTGGAGCTGGCGCAACAGAGGAGTGGTACGCTCCCTGTACGCAGCTCCAGTTAACAACCTAGCCACCGACCACTGGACTAATTGGAGCTTCCGAGAAGTTTTCAAAGGCAGCCCCATGTAGAGAGTGTTGCAGTAGTCTATTCGGGATGTAACCAGAGCGTGGACCACTGTGGCCAAGTCAGACTTCCCAAGGAACGGGCGCAAGCTGGCACACAAGCTTTAATTGTGCAAAAGCTCTCCCGGCCACCGCCGAGACCTGGGGTTCCAGGCTCAGCGAAGAGTCCAGGATCACTCCCATGATAACTCTGTCAGGAGTGAATTTTCCTTGTGAGAGGTAGATTTCTCTCACTTTTTGTTGTCTGCTCCACAGACAGCAAAACAAACACCAAGGGGTATTAACCCTTCCCTATGCTATCCAAAGTTCGGTCATTTGTGTGTGTGTGCGCGTGTGTGTATGTATGTATAAAAATCTATCTGTTCCGACTTTCAAACAAATGAAACCTAGTTTGTTCATAACTAGGGGAGCTGCCTGTATTTTCATCAGATAGCAAGAAGGTTACCATCCACCTTGGTTCTCCCCATGATGGTTGGCTCAAGTGCTCTGAGAACTAAGCCGTAACTATTTGTCGACTGATTAACTAGATTCATAACTCATCTTAAGAAACAGCTATCTGGATTTTTCAGCTAATATTGTAACTGTGCCTACAAAACCAAACTCTGGCATTAAAAGAAACCGAGAGATGGCCAAAGCATGGAGATCCACTTCAGATGTCACGCTGCCCAGTCACCATCATCACCACCATCATCATCATCATCATCATGAACTGTGTGGAAGGCTGTCCAGTTTTTGTTCCTGTGACTCTCTCAGTGCACTGGAAGTGGTAAAGCATGACTTCTGGTCACAATTTGGGTACTGGTGTATGTGTGGGTTAGTTACGATAGCATGCGAATGAAGCTTTATGGACATGACTTTTGAAACCTTGCTAAAGAAATGCTGACCTTCTGAAGCCCGCCATTTTCTTCCACCAATGGAGGAAGGACACTGGTGCTGTTGGAAGATGGTGGCTCAACATTGTAGTCACGAAAGCAGCAGAATAAGGTGCTAAAGATGCTTCGACTCCTCTGCTTCTTCAAACTGAGATTACATTGGGACACTGTAAAGAAAAGCGACACTTAATTAAGATTTGCTCTTCAGATTAAAAAAAACACCTCTGATGAGTATATTCACATATATATGTACTACTTTAAAAGTAACAACATTACATTAAGATAAAATGTATTACTTTTGACAATCTTCAACATGAAAAGAAAAACATCTTTAAAATGTAGCTTTCCTGTCTGGAAGTCACTAAAGTTAGAATCAGGAGGCTGTTTTTTCATATTGCGCTACAGTGAATCAGACCACATTCCAACTTTACATGTACCAAGCCATATTTAAATAGTACTTACATATCAGTGCCAATTACCGATATTTGAGAATTGATTTCTAATAGTGCTACAATATTTTCAGGTTGTTGTTGTTGTTGTTGTTATTATTGTTATTGTCGAAGGCTTTTAATCTGGCTACCAGTATTAAAAAACTCTAAAATTACAACAGCAAAACAGCAGAAAGAAAACATCAAGCACATCTAATCACCTCTCAACAAAAGATTGCCCCAGGCACTACCAGGCCATCAAATGCTAATCAAGGTGGTCAGTTGAAACATTCACACCTAGCTCCAACAGACAAGAGTTCTTTGTCCCACCCTGGTCATTCCACAGATATATAAACCCACTAGCGGTCCCCTGCCAGGCGTTGCTGTGGCCCAGTCTGATGATCTGGAAAATAAAGTAATGAGAAAGTGTTGGTTTCTAATATATGCAATTCCTTTCTGCTTGTGAGTCACAGGCATGGCTGGCGGGGACGAGAGATAGGGCCTTCTCGGTGGTGGCTCCTCGGCTGTGGAACACCCTTCCCGTGGACATCAGGCTAGCCCCCTCCCTGTTGATATTCCGCAGGAAGTTAAAGACCTGGCTGTTTAAGAAGGCATTTGATCAAGAAGTGCAATGACTGGTAATTTGACCATAGGAATGGAACAACGGAAATGATTTTGGATTGTGGGTTTGACGATGAGACGACTCGGAATGGATTTTGTAGTAATGTTGATGTTTTGATAAGATGTTTTTCTGATAATGATGAATTGTGGATTATTTTAGAAGACTTGCAGATTTATATATTACTAGCCATCCTCTGCCACACGTTGCTGTGGCCCAGTCTGGTGATCTGGAAAATGTAGTAATATATTAGTAATGGTTTCTAATATATGTAATTTCTTTATGCTTGTGGGTAAACAGTATGTCTTGCTGTTTCTTTGTCAGTGTTGATGTGGAGAGTGTCTGGTTTGCCCACCCTGGAACATGCAACATATAATTGTCCTTCTTTAGGGGTCCCTTTCAAATCTATGATACTATATTTGTGTGTGTGAATCATATCTATCTATATCTATGGCTGGATGACCATAGGAGATGGTCAGGAGGACTTTGATTACATTTTCTTGCCCTGATGAAGGGAGTTGGATTGAATGGCCTTAAGTATTTTCTGTTGGTCATGGGGGTTCTGTGTGGGAAGTTTGTCCCGATTCTGTTGTTCATGGGGTTCAGAATGCTTTTTGATTGTAGGTGAACTGTGAATCCCAGTGACTACAACTCCCAAAGGTCAAGGTCTATTTTCCATAAACTCCATCTGTGTTCATATTTGGGTGTATTGAGTGCTTGTGCCAAGTTTGGTCCAGATCCATCATTGTTTGCGTCCACAGTGCTCTCTGGATGTAGGTGAACTACAACTCCCAAACTCAAGGTCAATGCCCACCAAACCCTTCCAGTATTTTCTGTTGGTCATGGAAGTTCTGTGTGTCAAGTTTGGTTCAATTCCATCGTTGATGGAGTTCAGAATTATCTTGATTGTAGGTGAACTATAAATCCCAGCAACTACAACTCCCAAATGACAAAATCATAATTTTTTGAGTGATGGTCACTCCTTGAGTTGTGAGACGTTTTGTTGCCAAATTTGGTGTGATTTCGTTCAATGGTTCTTTTGTTTTTAAGGTACTCATTACACACAGAACATTTTTATATATATAGATTTTCGTAGTTCCAACAGACCTCACTACCTCTGAGGATGCTTGCAATAGATGCAGGCGAAACGTCAGGAGAAAATGCCTTTAGAACATGGCCATATAGCCCGAAAAAAACCTACAGCAACCCATTATTGTTCTTGTTATTATTATTATATTTATACCCTACTTTATCTCTCCAAAAGGGGGCTCAAAGCATCTTAACATAAATGCATTAGCATACAATTTAAAATATACAAATACGCACACATTAAAACAGGGTGAAATGCAAGCAGTATTTTAAAATTCCCAGTTCAAAACTATTAAAACATATTCAAAGTTAAAGGTCATGTACATGTGAATCATTCAAGTTTCAAACTAACATTTCTAAGTGAATTCAATTAAATGGAATTCATATTTATTTACTATTTATTTATATTTACTATATGATTCTTCTCAGCCCTGGGGCGACTCAGAGCAGTTAACAATATGTATAAATGATGTGATTTGTGATGTAATTTTTTGCTTTTAACCAATATATGTATTTTTATATATGGCATCTAATTGTTGCCAATTTGTACGCTGCCCTGAGTCGCTTTCGGGCTAATATTGGGGGGGGGGGAGGGGGGGAAGAAGTGACGTAAATAAATAAATAAATAAATAAAGTGCATGCCAATAATTCCCTTTTTTTTCTTTTAAGTGAGGGTGGGACAGCTAGCCAATTCAACTAAAACCTATAGAAAGCACCCAAAAAATTACCTTGAGGTATGCGTTTTCAAACTGAATGTATAAAGGGGATTCTTTTGATTAACTTCAGAATGACTATTTTCTGAGTTGATACCCATCCTTCTGCAATGTATGTATATTTTAAGTTCCAAGTTGTTACTTTAACATGGTTGTGTATTATAAGATTTGTCATGCTCAAGTAACCTTGTAATAAGCTATCAAATGAGGAAGCAAACTCATGTAAAAGGGAATAGAGAAGGGAAGCATATTAGACCTTCCGGGATTGTGGCGCAGCTCAGCTGCATTAAGATCACTACTGACCGAAAGGTCATGAGTTCGAAGCCAGCCAGGGTCGGAGTGAGCTCCCAACCAAAATTGTGTAGCTTGCTGTTGACCTTTGCAACCCGAAAGACAGTTGCATCTGTCAAGTACCGGGACTGTGGCGCAGCTGTCTGAGTATCAGCTGCATTAAGATCACTTCTGACCAAAAGGTCATGAGTTCGAAGCCAGCCTGGGTCGGAGTGAGCTTCCGACCAATTGTGTAGCTTGTTGTCGACCTTTGCAACCCGAAAGACAGTTGCATCTGTCAAGTAGGAAAATTAGGTACCACCTATGTGTGCGGAGGCTAATTTAACTAATTTACGAGGCCATAAAAAGACTCCAGCAAAGCATGCGGGGAATGCGGAAGTACTTCATCAGTGTCGCAGATGGACGATGAAAGCGACAGCTCCCCTGGGCCAGAAAAAGTTAAATAGCCTCTGACTGTTTGTCTATATCTGTTGTGTGTCTTTGGCATTGAATATTTGCCATATATGTGTACATTGTAATCTGCCCTGAGTCCCCTGCTGTGTGAGAAGGGCAGAATATAAATATTGTAAATAAATAAGTAGGAAAATTAGGTACCACTTTGGGGGGAGGCTAAATTAACTGATTTATGAAGCCATAAAAATATCCAGGAAGTATGCAAGGAATGAGGAAGCGACAGCTCCCCTGGTGGCCAGAAGCTGGAAAGTTAATAGCCTCTGAGTGTCTGTCTATATATGTTGTGTGTCTATGGCATTGAATGTTTGCCATGTATATGTACATTGTAATCCGCCCTGAGTCTCCTGCGGGGCGAGAAGGGTGGAATATAAATACTGTAAATAAATAAACAATTCCTTGAACGACAGCCCCGTTAATGCTATCTGGTTAAAATGGCAAAGGCTCAGAAGACAACAGTATAAAGAAATATCTATCCATCGAGCAAAAAATGCAAAAGGCATTCTGAAAAAGTACACTGCAATTCACAATATTTGAACTACTGGTTCCAAATAAATAACAACAGCAAAACCCGCCTTTTCTTTTCCATCCATTTTGTAACTGCTCTACGCCAAATGGGCTCACTCCACTCAGACATTTTCTTAGAGACACTGTCAAGTTGGAAAGCTAATATACTGACATTTAAAGCTAAGTACAGTCTCATTTCCTCCCAAAATACATAGCAAATTTATAGAATTCTATACACAGATTAGTTAAGAGTGCGAAACAGCCATCTGACTAAGCAGAGAACGGCAACCCTGCAATAAAGAGCATTTGGGTGTATCCAAAATATTCAGGAAATAATATTTCATAGCGATAAACATACTAAAAGAGAGGCATGCAGCCAAGTATGCGCCACATGTATGAGCAAGTAACAATAGCTCAGCTCAGGCATTACTCATCACACTTTTTTGACAGGAGCGGAGGGGAGAGCCCAGCCCTTTCCCACTCTTTCATCACTTTCCTCATCTGGAAAATGACTTATCTGAAGAAATGTTCCTGTTCACATGGAGATGATCCACATGAGCAAGTCACCTAATTTTCCAGGGTTCCAGCCTGCATAGAGAATTCCCATGCAAGCAGCAAGGTCTCTTCAGATGCACTGCTTTCCACCTGAGAAAAATGACAATGGAGGGAGGTAGGCTGGGTTCATCGAAGTGAGCAGAGCTAAATTATCCAGGCTCATCGAAAGGCTACACTGATTTCTCATCTTAAATAACAGAAGATTATGGGATTGTGGTGCAGCTGGCTGAGTGTCAGCTGCATTAAGATCACTCTGACCAAAATCATGAGTTCGAAGCCAGCCCGGGTTGGAGTGGGTTTCCAACCAATTGTGTGTAGCCTGTTGTTGACCTTTGCAACCCGAAAGACAGTTGCATCTGTCAAGTAGGAAAATAAGGTACCACCTTAAAGTGTGGGGAGGCTAAATTAACTGATTTGTGAGGCCATAAAGAAGACTCCAGCAAAGTATTCCAGCGGGGAAGCATGCGGGGAATGCGGAAGTGCTTCATCAGCGTCGCAGATGGACGATGAAAGCG